TTGCAAAACAAAGTGTTGAAGGACTCGAAATTATGCAAGTTGGTGGTTTGAATAAGAATCAACGCAATGAACATCAGAAGAAAAACAAATAAAACTGTACTTGGTGGTGGTTGCTGTTGTTGCAGTGGTGCTCGCTGAACGAAGGAAGGAACGAGCGGACAACAGCGGCAGAGCGCCGTACACTTATGCTCTTGTGAAATATTGTATTGATAAAGACAGGCAAAACAGGACGCAGTTTGGATTTCTCATGAATAATCAAAGTGATAAATAATGTGAATCGTTTACACATTAAAGCAATGTAATTTTCGTGTGTCATAAAAGAGGGAAGCACCATAGAGTTACAAAACACAATAAGCTTACTTAAAAACATATTGAGGTATGGCTCCACAACAACAACCGCCACCTCACAACACCGCAGCAGGCGTAGTTTCACCACCAACAGCAGCGGCGGCTGCAGCATCACATGTGGCAGTTGAACCAAAACATTCCAATCCCTTTTACATATCGGCCCATTATTTGTGTCATAACAAACGCTTAAAGCTAAAACGTTCTAAATATGTTGAGATCTTTCGCCGGGCCCTTAAGCAAGCCGAAAAGGCTTCATCATCTGTTCGCAATAAAAATAAGACTGATAAACGTCGTCAAAAGCTAAATTCTCTAAGAGCTGAAGTTACAATAGATTTGCTGTCCGATGATGAGGAAGAGAAGCAAAGAGCAACGACAATGCATGAAAATGTTTTTGCTGGGAAAATGTGCTTGGAAAGGGCAGCCATACTGGGCTTAATGCCCGTGGTGCGTATGTCGAATGGGCCCATCCAAATTGAACCTCCTCCCTTGGTGCCGTTGAGTAAACAAAAGCAAACCATAAATCGAGCCCAACAACAGCAACAAAGTCATTTGTCAAATCAAAGAAGATCATTGCAAATTCCACCACCATCACAGCTATTAGCATTACAAGCACAACAAACGCAGCTGCAGCCCCAGTATCAACGAAAACAACAACAACAGCAGCAGCTGCAACAACAGCCAGCCCGTAAACGTAAATCACGACCACAGCGACGTTCTTTGCCCGTTCTACTCAACAATGAAAGTATTGTCCTCAGTGATGATAGTGATAGCGAACAAAGAAATGGCCTGCTAACACAACAATCACAATTTATTGCTGTACATCCTGACTTAGCTGTAATATATCCAACTAACCAATCATCACCTTGTCAACCGGCCTTCCCGGCTACCACTACAACTATTCCTGCCTCTTCACCTGCACACTGCAATACATCGGTAGTATTATCATCAAACTCCATGCAAGTTGATGAAGATGTAACAATATCACTGGTACCACGTTCACTTAATGCCACTACATGCGCTCGTACCACATCTTTGGCGTGCTCGATTAATAGTCCTAACAGTAATGTAAAACAGTCATCACCAGATCAACAACAACATCCACCTCCCCCATTTCCCATGTTACCGGATGAGACAACCGTTCATACAGTCATTGCAAATCGTATCTATGAACTATCCTTGACCAAATTACGTGAAGGTTTGGCATCCTGTGGCATACCCGAGTTCAATGATGGCCAACAGAAAATCTCACCAACACGGCGGAAAGGCATGGTCCAAGCGCCACCTGTTGTTACACAGCCACAGGCGCCAATTTCATTGAAATTGTCCAGTGATTTGAGTATTTCATTGATCTCAGATGATGAAGATGATGTCAGACATCATAAAAACACAAATGCAGCATTACTCAGTCCCGCCTTTTTGCAAAAGTTACCTGTCAATGTTTCGATAGCACCTGTCGTAACTATTTCACCACATCCCAATGGTGCAGCAGCACCTTCGATGGTGGGAACGGCTGCAACGTTATTGGATCCCAGAAAACTTAAATTTGGATAAATCTTGTATGAAAATAAAGCGAATCTAAGACGACCAGTCATGCACCTTCTTTACACAAACAGTAAATTCACTTAGATTTTGTGGTCATTTGAGACCGAGAATATACCAATGTACATTTTTTTAGTTAGGCCGCTGGGAAAGGCCACAAAGGAAAATTGAAGAAATTAAACCAAATGGTAGCAAATTTTGTAAAAAAAATTAAATTTCTAATCATCTACGAATTGTTGCATATTATTTGTTTGCAAATCCCTCCAAAAAATAGCATTCCTATCTTAAAGAATATATTTATATATAAACTATTTCTGTTTGTACAAAAACCATTTGGCACACAAATCAAAATTTATCTGTAATTTGTTTGGAAATTGTTACAAAGACGACATGAAAATTAATTCTGTGATTTTCAAAAAAAAAAAAAAAAAAAAAAAACTATCTATTTTCAAGGCCTATAAGAAATGAATATATAATAAAAGAAAGCATTTATTTGATTTGCAACAAAATTTAAGTGATTTGTTTAGCATCATCTCATACCATTCTCTTTTCACAATTCTTTTGTTAGTTCAATTTAATTTTAATATGTATATTTTATCCATATCTACTCATGTCATTTTCCATATTCTATTCTATAAATGTAGGTATTAAGCTATAATTACCCTCAATTTGGTTCTTAAATATTTTGTCATATATATTTTTTTAATATATAATAATGCATATATGCTTTCTAAACTTCTCGCCCTGTGGGATGTCCTGGAGTTTGCTAGTGATTTTAAATTACAAATTTTTCTTTCGTTTGCATTCAACACCTGTATCCGAACTCCAGTATATACGTTCTATATCATCTATTGTCGCAAGTATTTCAATTCCTTTTTCGAATAAAATATAGTGGTTTCTATAGAATACTTTTCTTTAGATTTTTTATCTTTACCTCTATTTAAGACAAATTGTATGTATTTTGAAGTCAAACACATAATTCATATTTTTATTTTAATGTGCAAAAGTAACGAACTACCTATCGTACAAAAAAACAAATGCAAATATCTCGTATTGTTTTATTTTCTTCTTTTTTTAATGAAAACCCGTAAAGCATATGCATATTTATGTATTTATAAGTGATATATATTTAGTATATACATATAAGAAAATGTATTTATGAAATAAATTGAAATTTAACTTTTACATTCTCAAAATGAATATTGATTTATTGGAACTGGATTTTATTGGATTTATTTATGGATTCCTAAGCCTAAATTTAGACATCTGAGTTCAAATTCTCTTATTCAATACCAAGAATTTGGCCCAGGAAGTAGTCCCGACAAAGGTGGAATAAAAGCTTTTCAATTCTCTCCTGCGGCTAGACTTTTGATATTCGAGGATGAACTAAGTTTATAAAGTTTGTTTTTAAACTTTTCTGCAGCAGATATTTACACCAGCCCATCTTTCAACGGTATAGCCATCTTCTGCGAAACTTCAATCTAAAAAACATCAGCATATTCCAAGCCGCCATAATCTTTACATTTTTTTTAATTTTATTGAATGAAAACAAAAAATGTCGGAAATAGCATCAAATATAAGAATAAGTTTAGATTTGTTCGAATTGGTCACCTTTTGGCACGAGTTGTGGCCTTCAGACGGCCAATGATACCGCCAGACGCTGCCCGAATGTTGCTCTGCGGTATTTTGGCCCATTCCCGGCGAAGCGCTTGCTTGAGGGGATCGACACTTGGTATTTTTAAGTGCCAACCTTGCTTTCCAAAATACTCTAGACACAATAGTCCAACTGATTGGTATCCGGAGATTTTGGTGGCCATTGTGCGCTGGAAATAACCATTCTTTGGTGCTGCGTGCTGAGTCCTGTTGGGTCTGCGGCCAAAATACACTCTCCAGAATATTTTCGCGATAATATTCGACATTTATTCTGATGCCACGGTCGATTAATACGAGCGTAGAGCGACCATCGGCTGTAATGGCAGCCCACACCATCACCATGGCCGGCGCTTGAGTTCTTGTGGCCAAACGAAGGTGCTGACCTCTTTGGCAAGTAAACACTATCATTTTGTTTGTTTACGAACTGCAAGCCAAATTCGGCAGTTCACCATTTTCGGCCAAGCGAAGCAACTTTTTTGAGTCTATTTTCTTTCAGTTGTGGTGTAAGTTCTTGCACTTTTTGGAATTTCAATGGCTTTAACCCGTACTCATTTTTCAATATTGGCCGAATGGAATATTACGATATGTTCAGCTCACGAACCATTTTTCGGCCACTACGACGCGAGATTCGATCAAGTCGCTTCTGTACTTTTCGAACCGCTTTTGCTGATGTTGCTGTTTTCCGTCCACTTCCTTGACGTCAGGCTACGCTACCAGTATCACGGTAACGAGCGATGGTACCAGACACTAAATATTTATTCACATTTAAATGCTGGAGTGCTCTAACCATAACCACTTGTGGTTTTCCAGCCAAATATAAAGATATCAGTCTTTCGATACAAAAATACATGAATCCGAGTCATTCGATACATTCCGAGATATTTAAAAAAAAATGGCTAAATGGAAGGGGATGCAATGTGCCAAAAATTGACCAATGCTTTCTGAGAAGAGGTAAAAGTCGCTCATTTCCATGGCGAAATCGGAACTAAAACTTGTGGTTGGATTAATCGGAGATCACTGTAACATAAGGGTCATGACTTCTAAACGGGGTGACGACGCCACCGATTACTGCAGGCTTTCTCAAGACGAGGAAGATACTGAAACGTTAGAGCAGTTTCTTGCCACTGCCAACTCTTCGGTTTTAGGCATAGGCATATGGGCGAGCAAATTCTACACGATTTCTTCTCATTCTCCGAAACTGAGCCGGCTGTCATTCTTCAGTTGGACAGAGGACTAAAGTTCCCAAAGACGACACGTTAGTCTCTTTGTGGATCACACATAATTTTTTCCTCTATATTTTTCCGTTGATCTTTTTTCTCTTGAACTTTAGGATGAACCCCATAAACCAGCAGGTCTCCAAGTCCAGTGGTTGTTATAAGGCAACTGCGCGTCATTTAACCTTAAGTACTGATATTCCATCCTTCATATGGTCCCATATTTATATTCAAAATACATCGCTCTTTACAGTACGTATCACAACATTACGTGTGTATTTCATTTGAAAAGGCAGATTTTCTTAACATTTAGATGTTAATGTTCTTTTTTACATTAAAATTATTACTTATAAATTACAACATAACTAATGAACTAAAACAATCCTTCCAATGTTCACTCATTTACGACGTCGATTGCCTCCGGTCTTTTTGCCAAAATCAATTTCGCTACACAGCAGAGGATTGCTGGCCTTACTTTCATAGGCAGCCTTTGCAGAAGAATTAAAATAACGTGGTTTCTTTGAGGTAGATGACGATGCGGACGATGTTGTTAGAGGTGTTGTGGCAATACGTTTCAATGCCTTTGGCACAATGTACTCGGGAACATGTGATAAGTGGGGCTGTACTTTAACTGTCTTCAAAGGTTTGTCATGACGCAGCACTTGCAAATCCCGAGTGTTTTCGCTAAAGAATGCTTTCAGTTTTTCACTATTGAAAATTTCCTGTTTAATTTCACGTACACGAGCCTCGTGGACTGCGGTACGGGTAACAGCACGCCAGGCATCTTTGGCACGGTAGCGGAATGCCTCAACTTCTTCCATTTTGAATTGATAATTTCTGGAAAAAAAAACCGAAAACTATTAAAATACATTCTCCAAAAGCAACAAAGTATTATTACTTACTTTATAACCTGCTCCTCACTCATGTAACCCGCTTTTAGACGCTCCTCCACCTCATCATTGATTTCCTTATCCTTTATGCTAACCATTGACAAAACCGTACCCTTATTATTTCCTCTAGCCGTTCGTCCCGCTCTGTGGATATAAGAATTCACATCTTTGGGAAAATCGAAATTAATGACATTGGTGACACATTGGAAATCAATGCCTCTTGATGCTCCCGATTCGCGATCAGATTTGTTGCGACCAGGATTTTCCAACATATGTTCATCAGAGGCAATAATAAAATCATAAATTCCTTGATTAAATTGATTAATAGTATGAATGCGAATTTTTGCCGGCAGTTCTGAGTTGAGGACGCAGGATTTTATGCTAAATTGTTCCAAGAATAATTTCAACCTATAAAATATGGAATAGAATTGCAATAATTAGGGCTCCATATTGGTATTTCGAAAACATAAAAGCCTATGTATAAGTCAGAGAGAAGATTAGTTGGGTAAATCATCTAGAAGCCAACTGTGTGTTCGACACAGATGCTACTTCTTTGATATTGATAACTAAGTTTCATCATAGTCGATAATATTAGGATATGGAAGGGAAATGTATAGTCGTTTGTGATACATGAGATTTGCTTTGCATTGTCCGTCATGTTTATTTATGGTCAGAGATAAATAGGCTTTTGTGTTCCATATTAAACAGCAATCCAATGATGTCATTTGGTGTAACATTATTTATTACAGACTCTTATTACTTTTATTTTGCTTTACGTAGTGCCCAAAGCTAGAGTATTTTGAGGCCATCACGTGTTGCAAAATAAGGCATTTTGTCAGAACCTTCTTAAAAAAGGATGTTTTTTTTTGTAACAAACGATTATACTTTTCTCTTCAATTTCTACAAAATTCAATTATTTTGAATGTTTACATTTTTACTTACTTATAACAACGATCCACTGAGTTGACGAAAATAACATTCTTGCCACGTACCAAACGCAATTTTAGCAAAGCGTATAAAATTGCCGGTTTATCCAGCTCTTCGGCCAAGATGCGCTGATGAGACAGCTGACTTTCTGGCACCAGCTCTGGCTCTTCAAGTTTCAAAATTACCGGATTATTTAAAATGATATTTTTCATATTCATCACATCTTCGGTTATTGTGGCCGAGACTAAAACGGCTTGATAAATTGGTGGTAAATATTCAACTAATTTCTTTACGTCTTTCTCAAAACCAAATGAAAACACCAAGTCGGCTTCATCCACTACCAATGTTTCCAGATGTTTTAAATCCATTGCGCCCGATTGTAAATGTGCCAAAACCTTAGCTGGAGTGGTTACAACAACATCAGGTCTTTCGGAGAGAACATGCCGTTGTGCCACAGTGTCGCTAGATGACAAGTCGACAACACGCAAAACTTTACCACATTTTTCGCTCATTTGTTCCATAGCTTTGCGTGTCTGTTGGCAAAGTTCTTTGCTGGGAGCCAAAACTAAGGCACTGATACATTGTTCGGCAGCATTCAATTTGGAATTGAGGATCTTTTGTATCAAGGGCAAGGCAAAGGCTGCTGTCTTGCCAGAACCAGTGCGAGCCTTGACTATGACATCTTTACCTTCCAATAACAAAGGTATGGCGGCCTCTTGTATCAATGTGGGTTCGCTCCAGCCCATTTTTGATATGGCCTAAAATGTAAAGGAAATTATAATTGAGAACTCCGATACATGTTTCTCTAAAGTGGCTTACCTTTAGAATACGATCATCTAATTCCATTTCATGGAATTGTTTGATTTTACGTTTCTCCGTCATTGTTTTGTGTATTTTTCAATAAAATCTCCGAAATTCCTAAAAGTAAAGCGTATTTTCAACCCCACAAAACAATGCACGTTTTTATTGCTTCTTCTTCCAACAAATAATATTCACAGTGAGTTATTAGCATCCATATGATGTGATGCCGTGTAAACAAAAGTTATCATGTCATCGTGAATGCCTTGTTTATATTTTTGGGGGTACATAACCAAAAAATCTTATTTAACAAAAAATTAAATTAGTTTAGTGCTTCAGTTTGTTAAAGTATCCACAGTTTTGTAAAATGGCTTCCAATATACGCTTCCTACACCCCTATGTTTCTGAGGGTTTGCGAGCAGCAGGAATCATGGGTGCCGGTGATATTTTAGCGCAAACCGTTGTGGAAAAGAAATCCTTCAAAGACATTGATCTCATACGCACAGCAAAGTATGGTTCCCTGGGTATGCTTTTTGTTGGTCCCGTCCTAAAATATTGGTTTGGTCTATTAGATCGCCAAATAAGAGGCAAACAAGGTGTACAGCGGGCTTTAAAGAAAATGGCTGTGGACCAGGCTATAATGGCACCATCGCTGAATTTAGCCATTGCCAGCTTGGTGGGATTAATCAACAATGAAAAACCAGGAGACATAGCTGAACGTCTTAAAACCCAATATCCAGATATAATGAAGACAAATTATATTATTTGGCCAGCTGTTCAGATTCTTAATTTTGGCCTAATACCTCTCAGATACCAAGTGGTGTTTGTGCAGACGATTGCCGTATTTTGGAACTGCTTTGTTTCCCAAAGGTTAAATGAAAAACTGGCCGATAAAACACCCCAGCTACTGGATGAACAGGAGAAGTCTTTATGATCAAATTATCTTAGCGGAATATCGTTAAAAGTTTTGTAGTTTTTATAATCTTATTTTAAATGATTTTTAATTATAAGATAAAAAAATGACCAATAACATAAATATGTTATTAAAACCTACTTCCGATGTAACGAACACATTTTCTGCAATTCAGAAGTTCTTGCCGTCTATTTTCCATTCCATTTTACACATTGAAAAGTAAAGAATAGGAATAATGTAGGTAATAGGTTTCTATATTCAATCAATCAATCTAATTGTTCTGTTTGAAAGATTTATTAAATAGAAAATGGGATATATCGGTCCACTTTTTGGTACATATCCCATGTAAAGGTACTAACCGATTCTAACTACGTTGATTTTTTTACATCTCCAAATTCTTTAATTGAATTTTGTGAAAAGTATATATCCACCTTTTTAGGTATTATTAAGCTTTTTCCCGATATTTGTAAGAGTATCAATTCAATTCGAAGCACATTTATGGAGAATTTGCTATTTAGACTTCTCGCAGTGTTCTTCTTCAAGTCCATATTACGACACCATTCAAAATTCGGAGGGCTACAAATATTCTCTCTTCTGTTGCAGGGGTATAGAACCTATTTTGTTTAAAAAAATTTTAGGTTTTATTCGTTTTTTTTAACACAGCAGATAATCTTGATATCTACCAAGCATTTTTTTAGTAATATATTGGTTAGTTTTTATTTTTATAAGGAAAGAATCAGTTAAGTTAGTCAACTGAGAGTTGAGTAGATTTACTGAGAGTCACTGTATCTCATTCAACACATTGCTCTGATGTGTTATCATTTCACAGTGACGTGTTCAATTAGGAACAAGAAGATATACATGAATCATATGTTGTTTTGTTTACAAAAAAACCTAGTGAACCCTACAACATACCAGACGTGCTGTTTTAAGTTTCTATTAAAAATTATTTAAAAAAAGTTAGAATCATAAGAAAAAGACCTCCAAATTGCATAATTTTGCAATGGAGGATCCCGATTCTCTTCCCCCCGACATGGAGTTTGATGTCACGGAAGAGATCGCATCAACCTCCAAACAATTGCCGGCTTTTGCAAACTCCACTAGTATGCAAGAAAACAAGACAAAACAGAACGAACGAAAGAGACTGCGCCTAGAAAGTGCAATATCATCAATAAATGTATCGGATCTGGCTGAGAAATTAACCAACTACAACCCGCAGGACCAAAACAAATTTGGCATTTTGGGGGCATTGGCAGACATTGACATTTCCACACCTGTCAGCAATCCAACCACAACCAAAATCAATGTTCCTCCAAAACCAAAAATCTCCTGGTGCCCACCGATTTTTACATACAATGTCAACATAAACTCTCTAGTAGAGTCATTACGTGCCGCATCCCCACAGTGCAATTTTAAAATTAAAAATATAAATAAAAACAAAAGTAAGTTGTACTTTGCAGATTCTAAAGTTCATGCCTCAATGATGGATCTTTTAAAGTCAAAAAATATTCAGTCATACTCTTTCACACCCAAGGATCAAAAGCAGACATCCCTGATAATCCGAAACCTCTTCTCTCTAACTGAACCAGAGGCAATTAAAAACGAACTAGATCAGTTAGTTCCTGAAACAGTGGCCAGTGTCTCAAAATTTAGAACACCGACATCAATTAAAAACAACACTGATACGGGTCTTTTCTTAGTTTGCTTATTGCCAGGAAAGAAGTTTGGCGAAATTTCACATATTCGCCAACTGCAATACCAATCCATAATCTGGGAGAAACCCAAAAAAAGGGATACCTTCGTCCAATGCCGAAGATGTCAAGGGCACGGACATATAGCACGTAATTGCAATTGTTCTTACAGATGCGTTAAATGTAAAGACAAACATCTTCCTGGAGAATGTAAAAGGTCCAAGACAGACACCTCGGAACCTTACTGTGTTAATTGCGAAAAAACAGGTCATCCCGCCAACTGGCGAGGATGTCCCTCCTATAAAAAATATGCCTCCGACAGGAAAAAAAAGATGGCAGTAGCATTAGAAAACAGAGCTCTAGCTCAAAACAATGTATCTAAAGCATTAAACACATCCAAATATTCACCGGAAAAAACTTTTTCAAACTTATTTAAAAGTGTCACATCTATTCCCCAAGATTCAACCAAAAAACCACAAATAATTCAAGACTTCCTTAAGCTAGCAAATCTTTTTTTGGAACCTGAAGAGCTGACCTTAGAGCAAGAAATTCAAATATTCCTAACAGAATATAAAAACTTGTCAAAAACCGAAGCAAAAAAACAATTTTTAATGCTTCTTAATAAAGTTAAATTGAATTATGGACCATAGATCACTAAAATTTCTTACTTTCAATGTACGATCCCTTGTGGATAGAAGTCGACAAATAGAATTAAAAAACACACTACTTCACAATAACATCGATATAGCATTCATCCAGGAATGTCATCTCAGATCCAACATGCGTGTCAAAATAAGTGGATACACTTTTGTCTACGATAATTCTCCCACTGGAGTTGCAATTTTCATCAAGGACTCAATTCAATTCAAGAGAGTTTCCGTTCCGGCCACTGGCATTAATACGACACTTATAGAAATCTCATCTAACAATTCAACAAAAAAATACCTTCTGGGATCGGTATATATCCCGTGCAGTTATCCTGTACAGCGCCTCGATCTTGATCTGAATACATTACTTCAGTTATCTAGCAACTTTGATGGTTTCATCTTTGGAGGGGACTTAAACTCCAAAAGTCCAACATGGGGCGACTCCTACGAAAACTCAAATGGAAGAGTCTTGAGGTCCTGGTTATCAGATAATTCCATGGATGTCATCAGGTTATGCGATACTAGCCCATCGTATCCAAGTGGTACCTCTTACCTGGATCATTTCCTACTCAGCAACCATTTAATCAACAGTAGAAATCCTAACTATACTATATCCACTAGACCCACTTTCTCGGATCATTTCCCCATTAAGTTGGACCTAAAACTTGATCATTTAAACATCGATTTGACGCCTCCGCAATTCTTCATATCTTATAAAAACACTAATTGGCATAACTTTCGTCAGGACATAGACGTTATCTCACGTCAAATAATGCCTTCCATCAATAGGAACCTGACCAATGACGAGATTGATACCACTCTAAACGGTTTTAAGAGTCATTTTTCCAACATCCATGAAATACACTCCGAAAAATTTAAAATAGAGGATAGGAGCCTACCATACTCGGACAAAATCAAGAAAATCCTACAAATTAAACATCAATGGCAACGAAATCTCAAAAAAATCTTCCATCGTTCAGGCAACAGGACAAGCCGTGAGTACTCCATTCTTTCTAATCAAATTCAGCTCTTGAAAATAATAATAAAGGAGCTAGTCAAAATAGAAACAGCCCAAATATTTAATGATAGATTGCAAAAAATCAAACCTAGTCCGTCCGCCTTTAAAGAAATATACCGATTTACAGGAAGCAATAAATCATCTTTCTGCCGTCAGATCAACCATGCTAACAACACTATTACAAACAGTAACGAGATTGCAGATCATTTTAAGAATTTTTATTCCACCATATTTGAAGACTCAACAACACTTCCTGCCTCAGATGAGCATAATTCTACGCTATTAACATGTATCAACTCAACACCAACTCATATATATTCATTCGATGAAAATTTTAATTCTCTCCACAATCCAGACACATACCACTTTACTTCATCTGAAAATATAAAAAACATTATTTTCAACATCAATTCAAAAAAATCTAGCGGCCCTGATGAAATCTCAAACTTTATAATCAAGAGATTTCCAGAATCCACAATTAATTTACTCACGTGCCTTTTCAATAATTGCATTAACAACGGATACTTTCCCAAACAATGGAAAGTTGCCAAAATCATACCCATCAAGAAGAAAACAACAAATTGCAACGTTGATGATTTTCGCCCAATTTCCCTTTTGTCAAATATTGGTAAAATACTGGAAGTAGTGCTGAAAGAAAAATTAAACAATGAATTAACTATTGATCCAATATCAAACTACCAATTTGGCTTCAAATCTGGACATTCCACTCAGCACGCACTTCTCAAGTTTCATAACGACGTAACAACAAACTTAAGGAGTCAATCATGCACAGTTGCAATATCATTGGATATACAAAAAGCGTTTGACTCAGTGTCTCACCTCGGTATTTTGTTCAAATTAATTCAACTTGGAGTAGATCCATTTATTATAAAAATGCTAAAGAGTTTCTTCAATTCTCGTAAATTTATGGTTCAGATCCGGAATACATCATCATCCTTGGGCCATGTAAATAGCGGCGTTCCTCAAGGTAGTATCTTGGCACCATACCTTTTTAACCTGTTTCTTCATGACTTTCCACACATGTATCAACATTCCAAAGCAATCCTGTATGCAGATGATTGCATAATCTACGCACATAATCCTTCGCCAGCCATTGCCCTGAGTGTTGCTTCAGAACACCTACACATAATCAACAACTTCTATAAACAATGGGGTATTAAAATAAATGCCGCTAAATCGGTAGCCATATGCATACGTAATGCGTCGGGCAAATGCCCACGAAAAGTTGTACCAGAAAGCAAGCAATTAAAATTGTCTTTAGAAGGAGTAGAAATTCCTTTCAGCACATCCTTAAAGTACCTTGGTGTAACATTCAATCATCTCTTAAAATTCAACGACCATGCTCGTTCCATCATGCAAAAAGTTAAAGGTATATTAGCGAGTTTTTCAAACATCCTTAACAGCAATTATTTACCTCAAAACACCAAGCTGCTCCTATATAAGGTGGCAATTAGATCTATCCTAACATACGCATTTCCAATCTGGTTTCCTATTTCCCCAATAGTTGCCAACGAATTGGAAATTCTGGAAAGAAAGGTCTTAAGAAAATGCACAAACAAATATTATCAATCTCATCACAAAAAATTCTCAAATACTTACATATACAAAATCTCTAACGTTGTGCCATTTTGTAAGTACGCCCAACAACTTCAAAGGAAGTTTGTAGAGAAATTGGCTACTCACGAAAACCATATTGTAAGCGAAATCCACGAAATCGAGAAAAATATATCCTGGTCAGATTCGTCATATCTGTCTACAGTGGGTATTCTCAACGAACCTACTGAAGATGTCGCAGATGACTATACCTTACCAAGCTTCTACATTAAATCAGTACCTGGAACCCACAGAGGTTAATCAGTAAAATTAGTTAATTATAATAATTCATTATTTGTTACAAAATATATACACTTTTACTTTTAAGCAGCCTATACTGTAGATCTCTCTTTATGAGAATTCGATTTATTAGCTGAGAACTTACTGTGATATTCAAAGAATAAGAAATTTTTATGTATAATTACACATTCTGTGTAAGAGCACTGACTGTCACTCCGTTTTGATGTCATATTTTGTTAACTAGTTTTAAGATTTTGTTAATTATTTATTTATTGTACACAGTCATTAGCACTGTTAGTTACAGTTGAGGCCGGGAGCAAGCCTTATATACTTCATTCATTGTTTACATTTTGTGTAATGATTTCACAATTCGCATGTAGCATATTATACACTTTCATTGTACGTTAGAATAAGACAACAATAGTTCTAACAGTCTCAATTCATGTTAATCGTTCACTTTGTATTTAAATGTACCATCGAAAAGAAGAAGACTCAATAAAGTAACTTACTTACTTACTACTTACTTTTGTTTACAAAATACAATTCCGGGCATTCTCACTCCTTCCTCCATCCCATATGAAATTATTTATCCCGGAATATTAAAATATAACTCTTAAACCACGGCTGTTTAAACGAGGAAACCTTGGAGATAAGAAAAATAAGGAAGTGTAATAAAACTTATGTCATAAGTACCTCACACAATTAGTGTTTTCACCATAAAATCGTCAGGCAGCATCCTTCGTCAGATTTGTGTTTTAAACAACCTCCAGGATGTCGAATGTTCGTGAAATATTAACGCTGCAATTTGGTAACTATGCCAATTATGTGGGTGCCCATTGGTGGAATATACAGGTGAAATATTGCTTTTAAAATTTACGGTTCACGAGCAGGTGTTCAATATAAAATCTACTCAATTTCTTTTAGGAATCTGGATTTTCCTATGACAGCAGTGCTGGACCTTCGGAAATATCTCATGATGTATTATACAGGGAAGGTGTTAATCACAATGTAAGTGAATTAAATTTATTTAAATACACCATTTAATTGCATGTTTTATTTTAGAGACAAACCACCTATACACCACGTTTGCTACTAGTTGATTTGGATGGATCCCTGAAACACCTACCACGAGAGGGTGAACTATATGGCAACAGTTTAAAAAGAGATATCCATGAAAAACTATTTCCCACCGAGGGCAATGACATTGCAGAAGAACATGAGTCAGTTAAAAAGCTGAAAGAAGATGTAGCATGGCAACCATCAGATGTAGAAATAGTTGCCGAAAAAGAAACGGCAAAACATGAATTCCAAGAAGATCTGGATAATGCCGCGGCGGCTACTGAGAATAAAAAATATGATCTTGCTGATAATGTTGATTCGTGGGCAGATTTTTTGTATGGGCGCTATCACCCACGCACAGTGCATGTTGTCAAACAATACAGACATGATCCTGAGAAGCAAACATTTGATACATTCTGTAATGGTGTGCAGTTATGGAAAACCGAGCAATTTGAGGAAGATTTTTGTGATCGTATCCGCCAATATGTGGAAGAATGTGATTTTATGCAAGGCTTTCAAACGCTCTTTGACGCCTTTAATGGCTTTGGCGGCATTGCCACACAATGTATGGAGCATTTGAATGACGAATATGGTAAAGCTAATTTGGCAATACCCTTATATTCACCGAAGAATATGCTCTATGAAAATGCAGGTAAGCAAATGAATTATGCATGCTCTCTGCAAGGGAAACTCTTCATTTTAAATGCGAATGTATATAGTGTTTGGAGGATTATCCCAGAATTCCCAAAAACTTGTTTCCTGATTTATTTGGCTTTAGATTGGTTGAGATCATACACAATCAATCAATACCTTTATTCCAGAATCCCCAAAAATTTGTTCCCTGACTAATTTGGATTTAGATTTGTGGAGAGCTTGCACAGTCAATTAATGTCTTTAATATTTTATTATTATTTACTTTTCTTCCAGATGAAGCCATGTCCGACTCCATACGTGTGGTGAATAGTGCTCTAACTTTTAGTCAACTTATCGAACAGACCAATCTCTTCGTGCCACTGAGTACTCAAGATCGTGTTTGGCGTCAGCTGGGATCATCGCGCAAATTTAACTCCATTGAATTCCGAAATGATAATCTATACCAGACATCGGCAGTATTGGCTTCTTATCTAGATACAATTTCACTACGCTACCGACTTAAAGAGGCTCCCGGTTCGAATAGCCTAGCTGGATTTTGTGGTGATATGAGCAATTATGGACGTAAATTTGCTGCGGCTGCCTTCAATCTTCCCTTCACAATGCAGTACAATATGGATTTGATAGATTGCCTGGATAAATTTGAAGGACCACTATTTACACAGTTAACACCAAATTGCAAGGTGGGCAATGATTATGTAATACAATCTCTCTGTGTTCGTGGAATACCCTCGGATCGCTTGAAAAGACCTCGTGAAGCATGCAACAAAGATCAAATGCGTATGGCTGCGTATCGTTGTGAAAGTGTATCGGAAATGTTCCAACTATATTTACAATGTTCCAACCATGCGGGCATGGCCCATGTAACATCCGTTAAGTCAGCCATGCCAACACGTCTACCATATCCAGATGAAATATTTGCCGATAACCTAACTACCTCAGGATTTATACATCCCAGTGAAAAGAGAACGGAAGATAAACGTGTCAACACCGTACCATGTGTTGCATCTGTACAATCATCAAGTGAATTAGGTGACACGCTGGAGACGTTGCACCGTGAAGCGAAGCGTATTAAAATTGCAAAGTTACATCGTTTTAAAGAAACCGGCTTGGAAGATGATGATTATGCTGAAGTGCTTGAAAGTCTGTTACAGTTTAAGGATAACTATGAGGATAATTTTGAATTATAGTCGATCAAGTGTCTGAATGTTGCAGCAGAGAAGGAGAAGTACATTCGTCTTAAGTGTACTAGAGGTTTTAAGAAATTAAAACTAAGCTTAAATTATTGATTTTTACGATTTTTGTTTAGTGAACAAATGGAGGAAAAATGTGAAATACTCGGTAATTGAAGGAAGGAAAGTTACTACAACTCTATTTCAATTCCATGATGACTTTTGAAGATTCCTATCATAAAATTGAAAAATAAAGAAACATCAATTTATAACATTTATTTTTGCCTATTTTTTGATTTGATCCGATTGCCGATTTTTTAATATAACATACAAAGGGAAATATTATTGGATTAAGCACTAAATTTCAAAGCAAAAATATATGAGAAAAAAAGTAAAGGATAAAAATACCAAAAAATGTAAACCAACTTTTACAACAATCTCTGAGGAGAAAACAAGATCGCTCACTTCCATCCAAGGTCACTGCAGTTTTACAGTCAAGACTTCTAAGTGGAGTAGTGACAACACTGATTTCTGTAAGATCTGCCAAGATGAGAAAGAAACTGAGACAGTCGACCATTTACTCTGCCACTGTCTAACTCGCAAGAATGTGAAGCACAAGCTTGTTGGAGAGCAAAAAACACACGTCCTGTCTTCATTCTCTAACACAGAGCCTGCAGCAATTCTTCAATTAGCCAGAAGATTTAAGTGGCTAATTATCATATTATTTCCCCTATCTCCTCTCTTTTTTCCTAATTTTGGGGCAAATACGATGAACCAGCACGACTCCGAATGGAAATAAAGATGGCGCATCCTTTAACCTAACCTAACTTTTAAATACTTTAAAGTTCTGCTTTGAATGCAGTAGTGAAATCATGGTGACCCAACCCCTCGGTGTCATAGCCACCCACTTCTAAATTAAATGAATCTCGTTTTCCTTTGAAAGTAGAGTTTTATTTAATTTAAATTTCATTTAGATCCACTATTCTCATAACACATATATTTTCATAGTTTTAATTTTGTTGGATTGTTTTCTTTTTGTTTGTTTTAAACTTACAATTACATAGTTTTTGCCTAATCTGACATAACCCTCAACTGTACTCCAGTATAGTTTTCTTTGTGTATATCTAAACTTTATCTACATCTTGTAAAGCTTCATCCAATACCTTAGTGGTGGTGAAACGTTTATTTGGACGATTAGTGGACGGTGAAGTTGATGAACTACCCGCCTCACTGCTTGAGGAATTCTGTTGTGTATTGGGTGCCTGAGCGGGAACCAAGAGGAATTCATTGAAGAGGAAATCGGCATCCATTGATTGTGTTTTGCCATGAAAGCTGCGTGTAATGCGTTTGGGTGGTTCGATAAATTTCTCTTTGACAATTAAAGCGCCCGGGCGGGGACTTGCAGGGCCACTGGCTGAGCCCATTTCCGAGAGCATTGTTATGGGGCGAAATATTGCCGATTGTGATGCCTTGTGCTGGGGAGAACCGCCACCGGAAGCCAAATCAGATGCTACCACATCTGAGGTTTTCAGATTTATACAAGACTGCGTTAGATTGACATCGACAAAATCTTCCACATTATTTGGCACCCTTTTCAAAGTATTGCTTTCGAATGGGAAATTTGAATTGGATGTAGATTGGGTTAAATTTTCAAATTTCCTGAGGCGAGCATCCTGTTTCAGCTGCAAGCTATTCGGTTGGGGTATATTTATTGAGGCATGCAAGGCCGCATAGTCTTTCTGTCTGTCAATATCGCCACTTTCAAAGAGACTTATCTGTTTTTGTATTTTGGGGGAAATGGTATCGGAAGCTTTGCGTATGCTAAGCAAAGGAGGTACAGGATCGCCAAAGGTTGGTCCAGCACTTAAGGGTGGCTCCTCATCGGCGTGACAACAGCAAGTAACCTTGGGTTCATTTTCATCCAAACGTTTATTTCTCATACTGCTAAAGAGTTCCGTTGATTGTTCAGCATCATCATCGGGTGGTTGATCGGATTCAGCATGGCCATCACAGCAGTAACACATTTCCAATTGGGGTCCCTCATCATGGGGCAAAGATGGTGTGGTTGCAGCTGAGGGGGTGGCATCTTCATCTTCAAAGCCCTATGAAAAACAGATATTCATAAGATTACCAAAAATTTGCCCTTAAAATAACAACAACGAACTTACATCCACGGACAATGTCAGCGATCCTTTGTTGGCCACAATACTTAAATCCATATTAAAGCTAACCGGTGTCAAACAGGCACTTTTACCACCCGGACCTCCGCCACCACCCCCACCAATTGCACCCATATTAAATTCCGTATCATTGCTATCCAAACTATCCAAATTCATGGGCGTATAGACACTGACAGTATTCAAATCACCATCCAAGCGGGGAAAGAAACGTGCCAATTTGGCAGCCGTGGCCGATGATGGTGGTAGACTATAGTTGCCACCCTCATTACTGGTCAAACTAATTGACATCTCACAGCTAGGCGTCTCCTGGGAATATGTATCCGATATGGCCGGCGAAGATGGTTCGGTGATACTACTTGCTATACTCGATTGCTTACTCCATACTTGAGAAGAAAAGTAGTTTTGAAAAAAAATCTTTAAATTTAGCACTTTTTAAAACGAGATTGAATTTTTTTTATTAAAAAATTATATTCATACCATTTCCGAAGAAAACAATATTTGAAATTGTACTTAAAAAATATTTATTTTTGCATGGTGATTTGGCAGAGGAAATTAGAAACGGGCATCGGTGCTTAAAACTAAAAAATAAAATTCATTTAATTTAAGCATGCAGAACAAATAGTTGGTATTTTGAAAAAAGTTTTAGTTGTGCAGGATTTTTAAAGAATGGATGTGATATAGTAGTGAAAAGATTACCATTACCAAAAAATGGATATCCTAATCAATTCTTCGCAATTTTGACTACTTTCAAATTAATTAATAATTAATTTTCCTCTCCATGGGAATAATTCAGCTATAGTATTAGCCCGGAAATGTTTCAATCTTGAAGATAGAATTTAATCGACGTTAGGGTAATTCTTTAATTTTTTTTTGAGATTTTTTCTCGATTTTTTTGACTCCCATAAATAATGACTTCCTCATCAGGATAGTGAGGTTGTTCTAGTCAGTGCGTATGCCCCTAACCACCTGCTTCTTTAAAGCCATGGGTTAGGGTTTCTCAGCTTACTCCAGATTTGTATGATAATCTATTTGTGGATGAAATTGGACTTCCTCATCGTGATTATGGACTTTTCATAGACAGAGGGTCAACGGCAAAAACTAAAATTTCAATGATATCGGATCACATCTCAATAGCCATAAGGAAGACCATATTTTTTATCGCCTGTGAGAAAGCTCGTATCTACGTAAGAAAGGCTCTGAGCTTTAGCTTGCTTATAAGGAAAAGGCTCCCAGCTAGAGTCATCCTTTGAAAAACGCAAAATAAAGGAAAAGATCCCTGCAATATTTACCTTTAAGAAAGGAAAGCTCTGCTTAAGGGTCAGATCGCCCATAAAAAAGGAAAGTTCTCTGCATTAGCTACAATAAAGAAGAGTCAAAAGTCGTATTTATATTTATTAGAGCTACCCGTAAATATTGAGATCCGAGTTTTACCAAATACAGGGGAAATGAAAAAACTGCATCCAACTTCAGACGGCTGTCATTTCTAGGCCACTCGTTAAAGTTATTTCAGTGACAGCTCATTATTTTATTTACAAGTGTACAAAAGCATTTTGGTGAGAATTTTCCAGAAAAAATTATGGAATTCAAGCCTGATAGTGTGATTTCTTTATATTTGGCTGGAAAACCACATATATTTGAGCTGTAGCTAATTCTAAAGCGATTTTCACCAAATTTGACATACTTGCTTATAGTATAAATTGAATCATAAGTGAGTTTTAATCTTCTGTAATTGTACCATAATATTACACATATGACTCACAATGAAATTGAAATCGGACGAAGGAATATGTCGGAGCCATATCTATATTTGGACCAATTATCACAGATTTAAATAGGGAACAAACAAATTTCATTTCAATCGGAATATAAATGCTACCAGTCTCCGTTTTTCAATCAAATCAATAGACAAAAATCCCTATAAAATTTAAAGACTAAAGGTTGTCCTTAATTGATTAATGTGAGTGCGTTCGGGTGGCATAAAAAGGTATAAAATCTTACCAAATTTTTGAAACTGAAAAAGTATGTACTCAGCAAAATGCAAACAATATCTCAATTTTTGAAACATAAAAAATTTAAACTCAAAATAAAAACAATACAAAAATCCATTTATATTAAACAATATTTATTATATTTAAAAAAAACACATATTATGTTGTTTCTCATCATTAAAATTCTCAATCAAATGAAATTATATAAAATTTTCAATTACAACAAATAATTTAATAAAATGTCTTTGTTTTATCCATTTAACATTGAACAGAAAAATCAATTTGAAATCATTTAAACTTGTAATTTATAACTTACAACTTGACCCTGCTGCTACTGAATTTGTTGTCTGCAAACGCTGCTGCTGCTGGTGATCCCCACCAGCTGCCACGGGTGTTGACTCGGCATCTGGCACAGCATTCCTTATTTGATATCCACACAAACCACATCGTTCCGGATTCTTTTCATTTAGAATACTATTGTCATTACAACGACAAATGTTATTGGTTGGTGTACTGGCCGTTGCCGAGCAAATATCCTCATCCGTTATGGTTGTCATCATCGACAGCGGCGTTGAGGGATTTTTCGGCGGTGTGCATGTGGGTGTCTTGAATAGCGGTGCCGAAGTCATTTTTTCCAAAAAATTATCAAGTTGTTTGAGCGACAAAGCATTGTGCAATGTTTCTAAGGGTCGTATCGGTGGTACACCACCAAAACCGTCCAGAACTGTTAAAGGGAAGACTTTACAAATGAATAATAGAATTTCGGTTTTAGATGAAAACACATTGATATGGAAGGTGATTTTTGTTGTTTGGTTTATTAGTTAGTTCATATATTGTCGAGAAGAGTACAAAAAACATCCAGAGAGGTTATGAAATGAGGATATTTGGTTAAATATTTGGAAAAAAAAAGTAGAAATTTGTTTTTGAATAACAAAAAATTTTTTTATATAAATACAGCTGCATTCTTGAAGTTTGACCCTGCAGCCCTGCTACTGATATAGAGAAAGTTTTATTTAATTTCTGTTTTACGCCCACTAATGAACATTATGTCCAACTCTTGCTTACAATTAAACGCTTATCTTAACTCAAGGTTTGAAAATGTAACTAATGGAGACGGCTGCAAAAACTACCCTAGGTTTGTCTATAAAGCCGACGTTCTTCAACCGCAATGGATTGGGGATGGTCTCCAAGGACCACATTTTTAATGGAATTGTTGATGACATCTGTGCCTGTATTAGTACGAAAGCCACTCAGACCTGCTTGATAGGCTTCTTGAGCTAGAGGCACTCTTATAGCGTTGGACATCCCTCTCCAGATGGTGTATATCGTTCCGGACACGCCTGGGTGGGAGAGTTTTACCTACCATATGATGGTTTGAATGACTCCCACAATTTCACCCAAGAAAGTACTGCTATACAAACATATGGTTATGCTGACGTAGAGGAAGAATCTTCTCACTGGTATCACGAGAAAACACCTTGTTATAGTTCAAAGTTCGGCCTCCTGGAAGGTCCGAATATTTTTCCATTGGGTTGCATTCGTATTCGCAGACCACACTGGCCCTTATAATGTGCTCCCGACTAGTGCCTTAAGGATCTTGCTACTACTTTTAAATTGATCACAGATAGCTGTGGCTTGCGCGAACGACTTGAACATGTGACCTCAAGTATTTTGGGGTAGTTAGTGGTCGGAATAATGTGCCCCTCGACCTGCACATTCAGCAGTGTTCTCATCTCCGCAGACCATGTGGAAAAGAATGTGACTTAGTGGCGGATAATTTTGTATTTCTCGCATAGAAGTAGGCGATAGGTTAGATATTTGTTCAACATTACACATATGGCGTGCACTGCTGTTCTGGAAGGAATCCGTGTTGATAATTGGCAACTGGATAGCTTCCTCTGATGCTGGGGACGAGTAAAGCCTTTGCTACTGACTACTTAATCGAATTTGGACTGTATATCTCGAGTTTGTTGGCATCTGTGCCTGACTTCAGTAACGGGACCACCCTATCAATTTTTCAGGCTTTGGGAACGATGTGGTGGCTAAAGACAGCTTGAGGCTTAATGAGATACTCGGCGTATCCAGCTGTTACGACATTGAAACCATTAAAATTCCATCCAGACTAAACGCTTTTTGATGACATTCGCAAAATCATCCATCGTAAAGTGTGGTGGTACCTTCTCGGCGGAAAGAAAAGCCCTATCAATCTCGGAGTGCTCGAGGAATTGTCGATCAATCAATTTTTCAGGCTTAGGGAATGATGAGGTCTTAGTGAGATACTCGGCGTATCCAGCTGTTTCAACATTGAAACCATTGAAATTCCCAACACTTTTTGATGACATTCGCAACATCATCCATCGTAAAGTGTGGTGGTACCTTCGCGGCGAAAAGAAAAGCCCTATCAATCTCGGAGTGCTCGACGAATTGTCGATTAAAGTGGCCAGCGCGCTTCTTCATATCAGTCACTGTGCCCTATTTAAACGTGACTGCGGTCCTATCATCCTTTTTCCGAGTGGATGAGAATGACTTAATCGTTACACATAATTTATCTAGCCACCTTCTCCTCTTATGCTCCTGTACCAACCGGTTGACTTCCACTGTCAATTCCCGCTGTCTTTGCTGGGAAATTTGGTCTAATTTCGGGTGTTCGCAGCAGGTGTATAACGACTGGCTGCAGCTCTGATGATGTCTTGGGAAAACCCTTTCTGTTATCCGAACATCGGAAGAGGTGGACAGTTCTGAAGCGAGGGTTGGTGAACTTTCTGAATTCTGGCCAAAGGTTATGAAATCGGACGGCAGCTATTTGAGACAATTTTGGGGAGATGCTCTGATCAAGGACAAATGACAGGTTGCCAACCCACAGAAACACGAACATATGTACATATATACATTGAGATGTGAGGGAGGTACTAGAAGAAGTGGACCAATATTGTTTATTTTCGCACCTGACCTAGCACCGATACAAATATTATGATTTGGATGTTTATTTCTATGAGGTAAATGTTTTTCGTTCATAATTTCCAAACTGGATCTAATCTCTCATCGATGGTCATCATGTGTACCAGTTAGCCAGACAGACAAACGGACATCTCTAAATCGACTCCAAACTTCCTGAAACTGATTGCGTACAAAGGGTCTGAAACTGTTGTTTCGATGAGGCGCATTTTGAAATCCCATGGCTAAGGTTAGAAACAGTTATTTGAGTTTGAACAAATTTGCACACCCTTTGCCATGATGAAAATCGGCTGGAAAATTTTATAAAGGTCTTTCAATATCAAAAATATGGTTTTGCCATTATATGAGACATAATCAAAACCCTGAACGTATATATAAACAAGTTTTGCATGACATCCATTGAAGCACTGAAATGCCTGAGCTAATTTGTTTTCTCCTTACTTTCCCCTTAGTGGCCCTTAAGTACTTTCCTTATAGCAAGAACTTTTTTATCCCTCTTCTCCATATCAGTAGCTTAAATATCCAAAGAAACTCTTTACTTAAAATACATTACAACAAACAAAATAAAGTACTTACCCGACGATGATACCGGGATCATATCTCTCAAATTGGGGGCCGATGAACTGCCACTTATTACCGCTGTACTGAATAGACTGTTGGCGCTTGTGGTCATCTTTTTACTAAAACCACCGAATCCCAACATTTTCATATAAGACATCTGGCCGGCAATACTGTGTCTTTGTCGTCTGGACGATACCGATGACGACGACGATGTCGAAGTGACAGTATTATCTGTAGTGGTATCAGTAATAGGAGGATTGTTGATAATGGAGGATATGATAGGGTCGGTGGTGGCGTTATTTTCATGGTCATTGTAATTATCAAAAATGTTTGAGGGGGGAGTGGAGGAATAGTCAAGGGAAATGGTTTTTTGAAGTTTTTTATATGGCGATGGGGCATGGGTGTTGTTGTATGGTGTATGATCGTCATTGATGGTTATGCAAGGAGGTGTGGGACGCAACGTGTTTGTGGTCGTTGTTATGGTTATTGTTGTGGGGAAAAAGGAAGCAGAGGAAATGGGAAATTCATCATTGTTAGTTTCATTTAGATCATTATCATTATCATGGGAAGCAGAAAGTAGTAGATTTGAAGAAGAAGAATTACTTGGATTAGTGGTGTTGGTGGTACTGGTGGTGGTGTTGATGGTGGAGGGTCTTGAACTCAAACTATATAAACGATAGTGACCCGCATGTGGATGAATGTGATAATGATGATGATGGTGGTGATGATGTATATGGTGATGATAATGCATATGATATGGTCGCTGAGCTGGGGTCAGGTCATCTGTTAGTTGATTAGAAGAGGAGGAATTGGGGGGCTGGTTGGTGGTGGGTAGAAGATCCATGTCCAATTCTTGAAATGGGTTAGTTAAATTGTATGATGCAGTATTATTAGAGGCCGGAGCATTTTCAGCAATCGGATCGAATTGCCTAAAACTACTAATTGTGGGAAATTTAAAGGGGCTGGAGGAGTTTAGCTCAGCTATAACCGGTGCCGATTGTGAAGCAACTAAATTGGAAACTTTTCGTTTAATTTGGGGATTTTGTTGTAGACTTTGGGCATGCTTGTTGTTACTGTTGTTGTTGCTATGTTGTGTTGAAGAATTTTTGTTGGAATTATCCAAAGCCTCACACAATTCTAGGGTGGAGGCGGTGGGTGAATTTGTGGGCGAACCGCCTGGGGCCTTCAAACTATCCATGTGCCTTTTTCTGGCTGCTGGCGTAAGAAATTCACCACTTAGCAAAGAGGCTGGGGCCGAAGATGAGATTTGTATTTCTTCTTCAAAGGATGTGGGACAGTCGTACGATGAGGAGACATTGCTTATGGCCAAAGGAGGACTGGATATTTTTGTATAGTTACCCATGTCACAAAGATTTGTCTCACTTTTCGAATGGGCATGGGGTTGGACCAGCTCCTCTTGAGTGGCTGACAAATGGCCTGAACAGTTACAGGTCAAAGGCCTCTCATTTGTGGCCAATGGCGACATACGTCTTATTTCTCTTAGCTTGTGCATAAAATCTCCCTCATCACCACTTTCCATGCGTCGCATGGTTAACAATTGGGCCTGTTTCTTTTGCATTTGACTACTGGGCGAGGGCGATTTGTGGGCTGTACACATGTTATGGGATTCAGGCGTACCAGGAGTGAGGGAGAAATCTATTTCCGACAAAGGCAACTCATTGGTGGAAGAATCGATTTTAAAGAAGGTCAGATTATCGGTTACACGTATTTGAAAACAAGATTGGTTTAGGTTAGTATTGGTACGCGATGTTAAAATCTCTTTGAATTCTTTGACATGAGTTGGGGGTGAAGAGGGTGTAATGGGCGCGTCGTTGCAAGGCGAATCAGCTTTAAGCCATAACACGCACACATACAGAGCAAGGAATGGAGCAAATATTAAAAAAGGCAGCGGGCGGGCAGGCATTCACAGAGAGAAGGCAGGTTGTTTGATTTTATTTTTGGGTCAGAATGTTTTGAAATGTAATGTTGTTGTTGTGTTGTTGTTGGAAAATAAACGAAAAAATTGTAGATTTACGTTTAATAAATGTTTATATGGCATAAACTTAAAGGTATGACACAACAATAATGCATAACATTTTCGTTTTTTTCGTGGTTAGGCGAACATATTTTTGGAACGAGTGAGTAGCCGGCTGATTGGTGGTGGCTCAGGGAACAAAACAATATTGTAAAGGTAGAGGCCAAAATGTATGCATTTTTTTCTGCGGTGAAAAATGAATTTTTTTTTAATCTGAAAATTTTTTACAGAAAAATTATATTGATTCAGTTTTATTCTTGTTTTAAAAGAGAAATCCAATTATAGACTTTTTCCATAAAAGAAAATTCCGTTTTTTTTTGGTAAAGAGCAGAAATTACGTAGCTTCCCTATTCTGCTCATCCATAAAATAAATTTTTTGGGGTATGGAATTACAGAAGTTTGAAAATATTGTCCTTAAAGAAACAAATGTTGGTTATTTCAAAGTACATACTGAGCTGGGAAGATGGAGTCATAAAAAATCTGGCATTGGTTTACTATTTACATATTATTAAGATTTCTAAATCTGACAAAAAAATTTTTTCTTCACAGCTGAATTTGGAATAGATACTATAATTGGTAATATTCGAAATTCGAATTATAACGAATTTTTTGTTTTGTACCCAATAAAATCGAAACTGAATCCGTGTTCCATCTTCTGAGGCATACCTTTACAATAGAATTGTGCCAACCATATGGTGGTAGTATGTGAAACGTGAATGGTTTAGTTGAGCGACAAAATTATGGTGTTAAGATTTTTTTGTTGTACAGCGCACACAACACATTGAAGAAGAAGAAAAGGACGAATGAAGTAGAAATCAACAGGCAGGCAGACAAAGCAAGCAATTATTTTATTTTTTCTTTTTTTTTAATTGGCTAGTTATTTCTTTGGTGAAATGTACATTTTTCTATTAGTAAGGTTATGGCTTTAGAAGAAGAAGTAGTAGAAGTGATGTTACAGAACTTAGGAAGTATATAAATCAACAACAAGTATTAACACAACATTTTTACAGGCATGCAAAAAGTTTTGTGATTTGTTTCACTTTTGGAAACACGGTTTTTGAAAAGTGATTTTTTGGGTCCCTATTATTGTTAATTCATAGAATATATCAAATAATTTTGGATTTTGTATTCAGTATTTATTTTATTAATTAAATAGAAAGTTTATCTGCTTTAAACAATGTGAAAAAATCAATTTCCCCACAAAATATGGGAGGGTAAACGAGCAAAAACCTAAAAAGTAGAAAAAAAATCATAATTTTTTCAACTAGTGCTTATTTCATGAATGGTAATACTTTGCCCATCTCTGATTTAAAAAAATAATTTGTTTTACCCTTGCGTTGAACCGGTATGGAGGAGGATATTGGTAACTTTTTTAATTTTCATAAAAATAAGTATTTGGCGGACCCTTTAGATGCTAGAATGATTTATTTTAATAGAACATGTTTCAAGGAGATATAATTTTTATTCCGAGCTCCGTCTTACTCGATTTTACTCGTGAGTTAGAGTACTCGAAGAGTACATAGATCCCATCATCATCTACAAATTTGCTACAAGGAATTCCTGGCTAAGCAGACCTTCCTACTAAATATAATTCTCTCTATAAACACTTCTTTTTTTATCTATTCTATCGGCAACAATTATATTTTTTCTAGGATAAACACAATGGACCAAAGTGTTATTCTAAGAGCGAAATGTACGAAAATGTATACACCCAGCCTTGAGTTATAATTATTCAAACTGTTGACTCTTTATGGGAGAGGTTCCGAAGCAGTTGGCCAATATTGACCAATTCGTATCTGAACTAAGACTGATATAAATATTACAATGGTTCAGATTTGGAAAATAAAAATATTGGTATGTGCAAAATTTGAAGGAAATCGAACTTTTATATCCAATTTTTTGCGAAATCATAAATTCGACTTGTTTCGCAAGTTATGACAGTGTGAAATTTAAAGCGATTTGGATGCTTATTTCTCTTTTTTTAAGCGTTTTGTTTTTCAATATATTGAACCCTGTGTGTGGGAGGTACCAGAAGAAAACGTGCGATCTCTATCATCTTTAAAAAAGTCTGGATAAATTCGGACGTTATTTTCGCATTATAGGACCTTCATGGCTACTCAAAATTTTGATCTTTTGTGGGGAAGGTACTAGAAGGAGTGGACCGATATATCCCATCTGCAAACTACACCTAGGGTTAATTTGATAATCAGGTCCTCTACTACTACATTGACACATTCCATTAGGAATGAAGTTGCGAAGATTCGGCATGATGGGAGGTTTTAATGCCGAAGTAGCCGGTCTTCTCAACTTGATAAACAAGATCCCAACACTTTCACTGTATATCGTAGGTAAAAATGGCAATTGTGGTAATATATAAATTGTTACGCACTGGGGGACGATGATATCGACTTATAAACAATGTGAGGATGCGGAAGAGTTGAGTCCCTGCTGTTGTTTTCGTTCTTCGCGTGGACATTAACAAATCTCGGACACTGAACCTGCAAATCTTGCTACCTTGTCTATAAGTGTTATGGAGTAGACAAGGTAAACCTTCGTTTTCTGAACCTTAGCCGTTACCGCTAAATATTTTCTCTTTCTGCTTCGTTTTCTCTCCCCTCTCTTTCTACAATCTCACAGTCTCAATATATTATAATATTAATTCAAATTAATTCAATGTAATTAATATGTAACATTTTATATTGACGATTAAAAAGTTCCAAAAATATCAAGATATAGAAGAGACAGACACAAGTAGTAGCTCTCCTGAACAATTTTTACTGTGGGATTATATACGTTTTAGAATTCATATTAATAGATGATATGTTTGTGTTATAAAAACACATTTCAACTAGTTTTTACTTTTCCAAAGAAAAAACATTAATTTTTTCTAAAAATTATACTGAATAAAAAAATCCAAAATTATTGCTCCCAAAAATTTGTCGTTTGAATTTGAAAGATACACAGCAAGAGTAAATATGTTAATTTAACTACTGGCAATACACAATGCATTTATCTCAAATAAAAGTTTACGCTAAACTTTTATAAGGATTGAATAGGCCGAAAATTCAGAGGAACTGTATTGTCAGTAGTTAATTTAACATCACAATTTAATATAATATATTTCAGCCAAATACACGGAATTTCCCGACCAGATGCTTATATAAACTCATTTTGAAAGTTCACAAAAAATTCGATTTTTTTGTTTGTTTGTTGGATTGGATTTGTAGAGATTCGTTTATGTTACAAAACACAAGAGAGGTCGTATTTTGTATATACATAAATCAAATGAAATTAAATAAAAAGAAAATTTGTATTAGAAAAAATTAATATTAAAGTTATAATCTAAAAAAAAAAAAACTAAATCAAAAGAATTCCCCTTGGGTTAAATAAAAGTTTAGTACCCTTGTTATTTATGAAAGTAGGGATTCACAAAGACATATTTACATGGACAAATTCTTTTTTGCAAATAACAATTTGGGTTAACAACAAATTTGTAAATCCTTCTTTCGTCTCGCTTCTATTATTGCCAACAGCACAATGTAAATGGGTCATTTTTATTATACAGTCCAGTTTAAATTGGTTTTAAGAATTTGATTTAAATCCAAAATTTTAAAAACTTATGAGAAATGATAATTTTTACCCCTATTTACATTCCTATCTTCATAAAGAAACAGGTCCGTAGTTTTTTTATTCATATTCGCATAAATATACTTCTTCACAATTAAAACCTGAACTTTGTTTTTTGAAATGTGTATCATTTTTAACTCCGATATTTTACATTCTAATATTATACAATTTAAAAACTATTCTTTTGAATTTATGACTTTTGAAGCCTTAAACCACAGTTATGTTTTTTTTTCTAAAAATTTAATAAAAAAAACCTGCTGTTGGCTATTAATTTTCCAAAACACCCCATATTGTCATGCATTTTTTTAATTACAACTTTCTCCCGCATGTTTATTAGACAATAAAGTTAGGGATTTGTTGTTAAAGAAAGAAAATCTAAATTATTAAAAAAATAAAATGTAACTAACGAAAGCATAACGTCTATGCAAGAAAGGGCAAATAATAATTATCAAAAACGAAACATAACCAAAAACAACAGCTAATTCAAAGAACATACCTTTTGATTTTTGTGATCTTTGCTCAAAACTACGAGAACGTGGTTCACCATCAGGGCTAATGGGCCGATTGGCTTCCAATGAACCCGTTTGTTTGGTTTGCTGTTGCTGCTGTGAAGCCAATTCCTTATTCAAACGCTTTGCCAAATCCATAGCCTCATGTCCAGCCACAGTGTGATGAGACCCAATCGGTATGGGTTTCGACTTGGAATGTCGTATTTCACAATCAAAACCATCGGGAGAAATCTATGGAAATAAAAGGAATAAACAAATTCGAGAAAATTTAATATAAAAGTTTGGCAAGTAAAAAAAATGTATGTTCGGCTGAGCCGAACTTTAATACCCTCCACCATTTGAATCGAATTTTCCAAAAAAAAAATTAAATACCGTTAAAAAACCTGTTAAAAACTTAAAAATACCGAATGTAGCCGTTATATTTGGGTCTTTACAACGACGTGAACCTGCATAGGGAACTTTTATCATAAGCCATTACAATATTCAAATGCGAAACTTGAAATCAAATATTGGTGAATAATGTAGCTAAAATCATCAAAATACTGAATATCGGGAGGTACCGTTATATGGGGCTATACAAAAACGTGGACCACTACGAACATCAAATACCAAATTTTAAACATTTCCGCTGAATAATGTCGCTAAAATCATCAGAATACCGAATATCGGAATATACCGATATGTAGGCTATACGAAGACGTGGAGCTGCACCGACAATTTTCTGTCTTAGGCTGTAGTATACATTCCGCATACTAAATTTGAAACAATTCCGGCAAATAATGTCGCTAAAATCATCAAAATACCGAAATACGATGATATATATTGGAGCTATTTTTATATTCAGATCGATTATTGTAAAATTCAAAAGGGTTCGTATTCAATTCTGAAAATCTACACATATAAGTCCCTAAAAATTATTCTTAAAAACAATAACCCACTATAAGACTAAAATATACTTACCAAATGAGTTTTGACTGGACTTTCATCCGTATCATTTTCCTCATCTATGCGCGAGGGATTGTTTGAGCATTCTTCATGAGTCTGTATTAAAAAGAAAACCAAAATAAAAACCCCAATCTTATTTAAAATTCCGCAACTTACCGATGTTTTCAATGTGCCCGAATCATTGCGTGAATGTGGTCGAAATCCTGGTCCAGGTGGTAAATTCTTTTGCACACAACAATTTACACCCGGACTAAAGTGTAACTCAACATGGAATCGCTCTTCTGATGTAGGATCTTTTGTGGGATCCTCATATAGCATTATGACAATTTGTGACATATAATTCAATTCGGAGACCATGGAAATATAATCCATGGCACGACGCCATTGTTCATCGGTTAGAACATTCAATAATCCCCCATAACGTAATACCGTCAACAATGAATGGACATGACTTTCACTGGTGAAATACAAACGAGTGCGTACATGCCTACCCGGGCTGGCAACACCATGACTATATTGAGGATTTAAACGATTCACCGATTCATCCTCGACTTCTTCAATATTACGCTGCAAATCGGATTTGATTTTTTTCAACAGGGGTGTACAAATACCCTGACCTATGGTTAGTTTTTCTTGCATTGTCAAACCATATTCCTGCGGTATAACAATATCGGCTAGATATTTGGCATAAATATACAATTCCTCAGCCTGATCATATTGCAAGGTATGTTGATTGTGTTGCAAATCATATTTGATACAATCATAAATATCAGGAATTTTAGAGATATCATAAAGTTTCGATTTGGTACTAAAATCTTTTTCGATTTTCTCCCAACGACAACGCATTAGATCCCATGTTTCACCATGATACAATATGGCATCTTTGGTCTTGGGATCATCTTTTTTAACGCTGATTATGATCAAAAGTTCTTTTATCAAGCTGTGTACATGATTACAACATTCTACGGGATTCTTAACAAAGTCCAGGGCTTGATTAATGGAGATGCTATTGTTGGGATTAATGGCGGCCCGATCTTCAGCTGTGAATTCGCGATCAACTTGCATGAGTTCGTGCAAACGATTTTTGGCCCTTTAAGAAAAGTTTAATTAATAATTAAAACAAATTTAGGGGAAATCATAATTGTACGCTTACATATTTTGATATTTGCTTGAATCACAATCATTATCCAATAGACCATTAGTATTAGCACTCTTAACCATTTGTACTAAAATTGGAGTAAGTTCACCTTCCAATGCCAAAAGACCTTTGGCAAAGGCTGCCGCTGTCATTTGAACTCGACCCTCATCGGAAGCATAGATTTTTAAATCATGACGAAATGTTGAATGCAATCTAAATAAATTGACGATGTAAAAATTGTAATATTCCTGTTATGTATAAATTAATGAATTACCTTAGCAAACCCAAGCCTTGAGTTCCCGAATAATCTTGGCGACCTTGTCCACCTGGGTACATACATCTGAAAATACGTCCCAACTCCTCGGCTTGTATGCGACCAGCTGGAGTCAATTCACCACCCCATTTCAATATCAAAACCAAGGATGGCTCTGATGGTGCGTCTACTTTATATGGTAAGAGAAAAATCGGATATGTTAGATTTGTTTCTTGGAAATAAGAGTTATTTAGAGATATTTAGGAAATATGTGTATTTAGTTGGTATACTGAAAATATTTCTTCATCTATATTATTATAACATTAAATCATGATACAATTACATGACGATTTTAAATATCGTCGGACTGATACCAAAGCTTGCCCCAAAATGTTTTTTTTTTAATTGGTGAGGTTTTGTTCATGAATGTCACTGGTATTTTGGTGGTTGGTATAAAACATTTGACCGATACAAAAATATGGAAATTCCTTCAAGACGAAATGAGATTTTTCTTTGCTTTTTAAATATTGTAATTAATATTAAAAATTTATAAAATTTTGAACATAATGAAGTATTTTCAGCGTACCAATATTGTGTATCTTGTTTTAGTTTCTGATCAAGAAAATAATTAAAATTGTATGGACGATTCAGGATATAAAAGGTGATAACTGTTTAGAGGTGCCCTAAAGCCTAATTTTAACTATTATAGAAAACTGAATGAAATATTTTCAGGTAGTCGTAATAAGTATGGGGATTACTTTTTAATAGAAGAGGATACAGAGAGCCTTCATGGAACCTCTAAGGGACATAGATCATAATCGCTCTAAAAACCACTGCCTTATCGGTCTTGGGGTGCCCGACGTTCTGATGATAAAACAGCGGATGCACCTCTTTGAATTTATCTCCGTCAATTGGGATATTTGATTTCACTTTCAGCCGTGTAGCTAACTGCCGTTGTGATATCTCGAAAAATAATTTCTGCTTGCCGAACATTTGACACTCTAGATAACTTAAAACCTTTACGTCTATTTGTAGAGAAACAGGAAGCCATGTGTGTTATGAGACATTAGGAGCTGAAACTGTATCGTAGCCAACCATTTGGTCAAGATGCGATTGCAGGGTTATGGAATTTATAAAAAACCGGGATATTAGACATCCGTATACAGAGCAGGGATGTCTGGACGCATGCTTTTGCAATAGCCTACACTCTTTCAAGTTTAACAGCAACAACAAGCAGGACCTAATGGTATTCACTCTGATTCGGTCACTACAGTTATATAGGATTGCAGAGTGAATACCATATTCGGAGATCATCCTGGCTGGAAAAACCAGAACAATTCGTTGCACAACAGAGACGTGGATGGGAAAGTCGCCTCAATTCATATTGGGTTCAAATTCAATTATATCTTTGGTTGTTTTGAAGTGTAGGAATGCACTAGAAGAAGTCATCCATCAAGCTTTATTGGTTTCCTGGCCATTGCAACATATTCGGCGGCAATAAAGCAGCAGATGAATCTGCAAGACGAGGATCCGAGTCAATCGAATTGAATGTAGATTACACCAGGCTCCAACGGCTTCGATTATTTTTTTTCCAAATGATAGAGAAACACTAGTCCAACAAAACTGGCAGAATGAAGGCAATGTCTCGAAGAAAATTTGGCCACCGGAAGAAAACAAGGTCGCTGATATAACAGTTGTGGTAAGAATCATTACGGGTCACTGCAATATAAGGCTATGACTTCCAAGTGGAGCGACGACGATACTGTCTACTGCAGGGTCTGATGACGAGGTAAAGACTGAAACAGCCGACAAGTTGCTCTACCACTGTCCAATTCTCATCTGTGTGTGCTTAGGCTTATCGGATAACAAATTACCCACGATCTGCCTTAGTTCTCCGATACAGAACCAGAAGTTATTCTTCTTAGCCTAGCCTACTCGAACTTCAGAAGGGTTAAGTTGTCTTTTAAAGCGACGGTTGGGTTAATTGCCTTCCCGCCAATTTGCTTTGATAAATACGTTACGGATGCCCGCAAACATTTCTGTATGGGCCACTAGACAGGACTGTATTGAGCAACGTTCTGGTGCATCTCTTTGTGAAGTTCAGAGTTTGATTAGGGGACACCTAAATGGAATTAGGCATTAGAAGATGTCTACGTTGCAAAAATTTAAGAAAATATTTTTCATCTGTGATCCAGAATGTACTCAATGCATACAAAGTTCTAGTTTATATTTCTAGTTTGGGTACTGTTCGGGTGCTCCAAATGGTCTTCCATCACAATGAGGGCTTGTAGAAGGCCATTTAAGTGGATACTTTGAGGTATGTATAGATATTCTATGTATAAGAAATCTCCAGAAGATCTAACATGTGCCGAATACGTTCAAAACATCTTATATATACAGAATACCTCCAGAGAGTCGTTCTAGTTTAGACGCCCTCTGAAAGTAACGCTCTACTTTACGCTTTATAGTTAAAAGACTACAGAACAACCTTCTAGAAATACCATTATAATAGACATCAAGTCATGTCGGATGTAAAATACAAAAAGTTAGTTAAGGTGCAACGTGCAACTGGGAAAGGAAAACGTGCATTGTTTGTGTGTGCCTGTGTTCTATTGTAAGATAGTTTCAGAATGAACATAGTGAACAATCAAAAGAATAAATAAAACCAAATTATACATACAATTTTTAACATTATTACCGTCATCAGAACTGGAACCTCTTGGCCGGCCTTTGGGTTGATATTTCATTTGTACTTTGCGATTTATGCCAGAAAAGTGGCCATACCTGAAAAAACAAATATAAATTGGAGATTTTAAACAACTATTATTACATTATTTTTCAACTTACATTTCCAACACACTTTTCAATTGTTCCAATTTACTTTTCTTCTCCTCAATTTCGGGATTATCTTTTGTCTCAATTTCGGCCAAAAGAAAACGGGCAATGTCTAAGATCTCTTGCAATTGTTTGGGCCGCTTCAATTTGACATGGCCATTTTTAAAGCCATCATATTTTTCAAAAATTTCAAAGAATCTGGAAAAAAGGGAATTAATTTTAAATATCACTCATATTTATAATTTACTAATTAGTTGTATAACTTACTTTGGATGCCGAACTTCAACTTTCATTTTTTGTTTAGGCGTTCGATCACCATGCCGTATTACGGCCACAACACAGCGCAGTTCCATCATTTTACCAAATGTTGTTGGCACAATTGGTGGATCATCCAATTGAAATGGTACCGACCAGGGAATGTGCAGCGTGGGTGTAAGTTCTCTCAGTATCATATTGCCCAATATTTTTGCACAATCGTCATAATATTTATTGGAATTTTTAACAAAACTAAACCCGTTTACGTCGCACACAAATGACTTCCCATTCGCTCTAAAAGTGCAAAAGAAAAGAAGAGGTAAATATTTTTATAAACCAGAAAAGTTTAAGAAAAAGGAAACAATAGCAAGAAAATCAATCCTTTAATAAACTTGTACACTAAGCAATTAAAATGATCCGGATGGTTAACTATTTAACTTTTTCAGATTGGAAAGAATAATTTCATGCCACAAATATAGTTGTCCATATTTGTGGCATGAAATTATTCTTATATGCTACTTTTCACTAATTAATTACTTTAGATGGGATTTGAGAAATTATGCAACAAGAATGGGACAGGATTTAAATGGTAGTTTGTTATGCGGCAAAACTAGAATGTACAGCTAATTTTTCTGAATATATTATTTATATTTATTTTTAACTATAAGATAATCAGGGCAAAGAGGAGAGAAGAGAAGATTAAGGGAATCTTTTCAGCCCGAATGTCCTCGAAATTGTCGGAAATTGCTGTAAGGCATTTTCATACGAATTTCTAGACAAAATAATTTCTGAGTATCCATAATAGGGGGTTAAACTAAATTCAAAACATAAGTGTCAAGTGATCGATTGAAGTCTGTTGGTTTCCGTATACTCAAATGAAATACAACGACCGTTTTTATATTAAATTAAGAATTCACAAACGTTTATTAAAATCAATTATACGAGCTTAAACTAGTACGCCTTGTCAGGTTGGCTTCGTATCTTCAACTCTGTTACATTTTTAAAAATTCAGGGTTGTATCCGGGTTGCATGTAATCGTATATTTTCACATGTATGCAACAAAAGGTATCTACTACTACTTTTAACTTGACAACTCGGCCTTTCCTGACCTGAAGTCGTCCTCGGCTTCATCTTCGCTTGAAACATCCAATTCGGGGGAACATTCACACCATTTCTTCAACTTGTCGGAACTGAATACGGAACAGAATTTCCTATTCGTGATGTTTATTCCAGGAATGTCCTCTATCAGGTACCTGTCGTTGCCCAATACTCGTGCTATTATGTATGGACCTTTGTATTTAGGTTCTAACTTCCGGGATTCACCTGTCGCTGGTGGTTCATTCTGTATAAGGATCAAGTCACCTTCCACATACAATTTCGGATTCGAATGCTTGCTGTCAAATCTTTTCTTCCATCGTTCTCGTTCGCTTTTGATGTTTTCTGCGGCCATGATACGTTTTTCGTTGATGGAAATTTCTTCGTTTTGTACATCATCTTGTACAGCTGCTAACAATCGGTTTTGTATTAAGTCGGTGGGCTTGTAATCGAAAATCAACTCATTCGGACTGTAACCTGTTGTCGAATTTTTGGTTGAATTGATTGACCATTGTAAAACGTGAAGTGCCGAGTCCCAATCCTTCGGTTCTTCAGTGGTAGTTCGTAAATAAGACAGGATAAGTTGATTGACCCTCTCAACTTGTCCATTGGCTCTTGGTGTACGAACGGCATTCTTAATGTGTTGAATATTGTTTCGATCGCAATATTCCTCAAACATTTTTGACGTAAAAGCTGTCCCACGGTCCGAAATTATTCTTCGAGGTAAACCAAAGTATCCACTAACCTCATTTAAAACGTTGATGACGGGCAATGTCTTCGTATTCCTTACAGCTTTAATAACCACAAATTTCGTAAAGGAATCGGCGATTGCCACTATATGTGTATGACCATGCTTGCTTCTTATAAACGGTCCCAAGTGATCAATATGTACTTGCCTAAATGGTAGCGGTTCGACATTACTAAAATGTAGAGCTCCTTCGTGTTTACCACCTTTTGCCTTGTTGTAGCAACACTCTACACACGCTGCAATGTACTCCTTCATATATTTCCTCATGCGGGGGAACCAAAACGTTTGTTCGACTCGTGAGAGGCTTTTCTCCAACCCGTAATGGCCAATATCATCATGACAGTATTTAGCTATGCGCCATCGTATAGCCTTCGGTATGACCAATCGTAGTCCATTTTTCGTTTTCCGGTATAGTCGATGTTTTTCCAATAAGTATTCAGATTTTATCTGTTTCTCTTGCTCAGATTTCAATTCATTTCGCAGTACTCTCATAATATTCTTTATGTGGTCGTCGTTTAGCTGCATCGTGAGAATCCAATCATCGCTATCAATATTCATTATGAACCCTGCTGGTTCAATCTCCGTCTGTGGCTGATCCGGTGAACGGCTGAGAGCATCAACGTGAGCCATACGTGACCCTTGTCGGTGTACATACTCACAATCAAATTCAAGTAATTTCATCAGCCATCGTGCTACTCGAGGTTGTAATTCCTTCGTTGTCTTCACATTAGTAATTGCGGCACAATCAGTGACGATTCGGAATGGCTTTCCAAGTAAATATATACGGAAACGCTGCACCGTTTCAACCACAGCTAAAACTTCCAGCTCGTAACTGTGATATTTCGATTCCGTTTCAGAACAGTGGCGGCTAAAATAAAACACTGGTTGCCAATTACCATTACCATCGGACTGTAATAACACTCCTGCTAATCCGAGACTGCTAGCGTCCGTGTGCACCTCGTGATCTGCTTTCATATCGTAGATTGCTAAAACTGGTTCACTACACAAAATTTGGATTAAACTTCTGAATGCGTTTTCATGGTGTACGTCCCAACGAAATTTATTCTCTTCGCTCTTTCGTGTCAACATCGCAAGAGGTTTCGTAATGGCTGCATAATCCTTTACAAATTTTCGGAAGAAGTTAGTTAGGCCAAGGAATCGTCGTACTTCTGTTACATTCGTTGGTACCTTAAAATTTCTAATCGCTTTTACTTTTTCTTCTCCAGGTAAAATTCCGTCACGTGTAACTATGTGTCCCAAATAAGAAATCTTTTCGGCTAGGAACGAACATTTCGCCAATCGTAACGTGAGACCACATTTCTTAAGGATATCCAAAAATCTTTTTATTCGGTCCAGACCTTCATCGACTGTTTTACTGGGAATTATGACGTCATCCAGATACGCTAAAACTTCTCCTGGTTTCATAAAGCTTATAACTCGGTTCATCGTTGCCTGAAAAACTGCAGGTGCGTTTACCAAACCAAATGGCATCCGGTTGAATTCATAATGACCATCTGAAGTCACGAAAGCTGTGAACTTTTTCGATTCTTCCTCTACTTCAATTTGGTGGTAACCCATACGTAAGTCGAGTGTGGTGAAATAACGATTTCCGGCGAGTTGTGCAATCTGTTCATCCAGTACAGGCATAGGATGCGCTATACGTACGGTTATTCGATTCAACTGTCTATAATCTATACATAAACGGTGTTCACCATTTCTCTTCTCGACCAAAACAATTCCCGATGCATACGGAGAATTCGATTTCCTTATGATTTCGTTATCCAGTAAGTCTTTCACAATATTTGCCACAATAGGACGTTTGGCAAATGCTAGTCGATATGGCTTGCATCGTATTGGTTCTGGAGTAGTAACTTCGATTTCCATCTTCACTAAGTTACACTTACCCAATTCGCTTGACTTTTCTGAAAAACATTGTCGGTTTTCTTGAATGTTCAACTGCAACTTCTTATGCTCTTCAGATGTTAAGCCTTCGTTGATACTAATCGCATTTACGTTTTGCATCCAACACTCATCTCCTTCAATAATGGTGCGTCGACCTTTTTGGCATAAAACATCTCGACCTAAAAGAACATCATTCGGGATCATAGAATTTTCCACAACATAAAGGTTCACGTCGTAACTCGTCTCATCAATGTCAATTGGCACTTTAACCACCTTTGTGCACTCGTATTTGCCACCAGCAAAGCCATTTAAAACCATACTGCAATTTTCCGTTTCGCCAATTATCATTGCAAAACTTCGTCTGATCAGACTCCGATCACTTCCCGAATCAATAAATGCCTCAAACTCCTTGTCCTTTACTTTGACACGTTTACATAGTATTTCGTTGGACTTTACGCTGTCCCTTATATTGTTGACATTTGTGTTCAGGGTTTTTGTTGGACATTCACTTGCACCGTGTGAAGTCCGTTTGCATATCGTACATCTATTCTTCTTCTGTGGATCTGGGCAGTCTACGGCTTTGTGACCAGTATTACCACAATTAAAACATTTGAATTTATTCACTCTTTCATCGCTTTTCCTTTCTGGGGCAGTTCTATTTTCATTGCTACGTTTCGTCTTATTCGATATCGGGTTCAGCACTCTTCTTACCTCGTTATAACTACAGTATGCGTTGATGTCACTCAAAAGTTGATTACAGGTAATATACTCGTTAGATATTTTCTGCTTCAATCCTTGATCATTAATTCCGTTGACTATATGCCGTGCTATGGATGATTCATTTATATTGCCCCGTTTTCCAATAGCATACATTCTGTAATAATATTCCTGCGGCGTTTCGTCGAACTGCCGTTTTGTCTGTGCCATTCTAATGTGTACATCGGCTGCATTTACATTTTGAGGGAAATCTAAAAGAAATTTGTTAACAAACTGAGGCCAAGACAGAAATACCTCTTGCAGTGAGTCAACCCAATACTTGGCTGGGCCAGCCATTTTCTGTTGCACTGCAAATATAACTGATGCGTCGTCCCAGTTATAAGCTGTCTTCAATAATTCCACACGTCGCACGAATTGTGAAGGATTAATCGATTCTTCAGATGACGGATTAAACTCTGGCAAAAGTTGAATTATTTCCTTAACGTTCCCAAAGGGGTTGTGCTGAACATAACGTTGTGAAGGCTGCATAACTATTTCTGACTGCGGCGGCGCTGAATAGACACTTGTTGCAAATATCGGCGGTTGTAGATATGCGTTGTAGGGCTGCGTTGATTGAACATATCCATTGTTCGGCTGCGTGAACACTCCTGTCGGTGTTGCTGTTGTAAAATTCGAATGTGTCGTTATATGTGTTGGTACGTTGTAGCATGACGTCGCTACATTTTGCGTTGTATTTCGTGGAAGTTGAGCATGTCCGTGCAATGAAGGTGTAAACGTTGGTAAACCAGCAGAAGCACACGTGTGGACCGTTGGAATTGTTGACGTAGTCTGAAATGCACCAAAAGAAGTATTCGTTTGAACATACGATGGAATCGAACGTGATTCCGGTAATATTGTCACAACGTTTGCCACGTTTGGCAAGCTAGGCCGTGTGCCTTGCAGGGACATATTACCATCCGGTGTCGAAAACGTGTTCAAAGGGGATGATGCGTTGTTCGGCTCAAATTCTGATTGTCCACGTTGCTCCATAGATGAACGCAATTCAGTTACCATATCTTCCAAATGCGAAATTCGCTCCTGCATATCATGAGGAGATGCGAATCCGTGCAGCTCGCTTTCGTTGTTGACTTCAAGTCGTTCGATCAATTGCTTTTTGTTACCACTTTGAGAAACACCAATTTCTCTGCATTTCGCTTGCAACTGCTTAACCGTGCATTTGTGCAAATTCTCCATATTTCTTGTTGGTAGACGCTTCTTCCAATAAGACTTGTCGTATCCCACTTCTGAGAAAAATGTCAAGTGATCGATTGAAGTCTGTTGGTTTCCGTATACTCAAATGAAATACAACGACCGTTTTTATATTAAATTAAGAATTCACAAACGTTTATTAAAATCAATTATACGAGCTTAAACTAGTACGCCTTGTCAGGTTGGCTTCGTATCTTCAACTCTGTTACATTTTTAAAAATTCAGGGTTGTATCCGGGTTGCATGTAATCGTATATTTTCACATGTATGCAACAAAAGGTATCTACTACTACTTTTAACTTGACATAAGCAAATCCTTTATTGGGTTCCTGACCATCGCAAAATATTCCGTAACAACACTCCAGGAAGGTAAAAACAACTTTCCCGAAGTAGAATAATGTCGCTAATCTCCATGACGAAATCTGGCCTAAAACTTGTGGTAGGAATGATAACATGTCACTGCAACGCAGGGCATTGGTTTCTAAGTGGGACGGCGGTGACACCGACTTCTGCAGGCATACAAGTTCGTGTTTTTTTTATTCTTCTGCTTTGGGAACATATATATCCAGCATATCCCGGAATACCTGCTTTAGATACATTTGGTGCGTTTCGGATTCGAAGAAAACGTCGGACCTTGGTTCTGCTCGGTTTTTCAGAACGTCATCCACCACAGATGTGGAAAATGCGCTTCAGAAATAGTTTTGTATCAGTCGGTTGCGAGACTACAGTGAAAGGACGTGCTGCAACAACATAGTCCCCGGCGGCGAGTCCACCTCTTCGTCGGAGTGCGGAAAGGACTTTTCGAAGCATCATCAGAGCAGCAGCAGCTCGCATGTACCTGTTAGTCGAATACCCGAAATTAGACCAAATTTCCTAACAGAGGCAGCTGGGCATTTGCTAGCCCAGATGTATTAACTTCAAATAGAAAATTGGAAACAAATCGTTAAAATACCGAACATAGGGTGGTACCATTATATGAAGGCTATACGAAGACGTGGGCCTGCATACGCAATTTTTTTTTATCATAAGCTGTAGTACCCATTAGGAATTCTAAATCCTAAAATTTAAAAAACTTCGGTGAATTTTGGGAGGGGGTACCGTTGTATGTGGGCTATACGATATCGTGGACCTCTCTTCCATGGAGTAAATGTCTTAGAAAGAACTTCTAGTATGGATTTTTAGACAATTGTATTGAAAAATGTGGCTAAAAGTATCAAGTACCGAATATCGGGGGTACTGTTGTATGGGGGCTATACGATATCGTGAACCGATTAGCCCATATTCGACAAAAGACTGATCTCTACAAAATTTTAGCTTCCTATCTTTATATGTTTTGACTCTAGTGTGGTTACATCAGACGGACAGACGGACGAACGGACAGGATAAATCGTCTGATCAAGAATATATATACTTTGTTATGTCTAAAATTATTATTTACAAACGGAATGACGAACTTAATACACCCTCCATACAATATATGGTGGAGGGTATAAATAATGTGGGTAACGGTGAAGTCACTTTCAATTCCTGGGAAAAAGGATGATAGGACATCAGTCACGTTTACCGATGTCGCAGTGACTAATCTGAAGAGGTGTGCTGGATACTTTAACCGACAATTTGTCGAGCAATCCGAGAGGATAGTGCCCTGAAAACCGGAGGCGACATGAGGTGGCGTACAACAGCATCCAAACCATCATATGGTGGATAAAACTCCCCCACCCAGGCGTCTAGAGAGGGAGGTTCAACGCTATAAGAGAGAGCCTCTAGATCAAAAAGCCTACCAGACAGGTCTAACTAGAATTCATACTGATGAAGTCACAGATACCATCAACGAATGGAAGGAATGAAGGCCGTTTTCAGAGTCCACCTCTCATTCATTGCAGCTAAAGAACTTTGGCGGCCTAGACAAACCAGGGTAGTTTTGACGCAATTAAGTTCAGGATGGTGCAGCACTCTCAATCCGTTTTGGACACAAATTGACGAAGATGTGAAGATATATGAAAGACTTTTTGTAGGACTTTTGTAGATAGAATATTGACAAGTGGTCTAACATAAAAATTGTTGATCTTTACGGGCCTTATTTAGCTAGAAGAACATCTAGCCCCCGCCAATTCTAAGCACATTAGCACAATTTAAATGTTAAAGCTAAGCTAGAATAAATATTTTGATATTAGTTACGATTGTTTTTGTGTTTATATAATAAAGCCCAATCTCGTGAAATTGTAAGCCTTCAATCGCAGCAAAAAATTAGCTCTTTTTTAACAGAAAAACATAATTTGGACGAAATTGGAAATAGACATGATTAAGCAAAGTTAAGATTATTATTTTTATATTTATAACGATTATATGATCTTGTTAAGGCCAAGCCCATGAAATTAAAAGCCTTTTATGAATAGACGCTTTCTACAAATTATATATTGTAAAGTTCATGAGTGTTCAGCGAACTTCGTTAACAACTCATTACAAAAAAAAAATAAAATTACAGGCAAATTCAATTTTATATTACCTTAGCAAATCAAATCCACAAACGGTCTGTTTGAAAGCCAAGCAAACTTTACGTGATATAAGCTTCTCAGCATGATTAAGTATTACCGGATAACGAATCTCTTTGCCTTCGCTGTCACGTTCCACTTTCCCATCCAATGCGGGACTTTTCCGTGCCTCAGCATGGGCATAGTCCGGGCCAACGGTGTAGACCTTAACGTCGGTACCTGGAAAATATACTACGTTTTAAAAGTAATACCGGGTTGTTATATAAAATCTCAATTATTTTTTCTTAAGATTTTGTTTTTGTGATCTTTGGTTTCGGTTAACTAGTAAAGGAGAGTGGTTGGTGTGGTGTGGGTGTGTATTTTTGGGGTTGGGTGTTCAAAAACCAAAAAACAAAGGTATTGGATATCTGAGGATGTTGTAGTTCTTTTTTTTTTGGAATATTTTGAAAAGAAAGAAAAAACTAAAAATTATTAAAAATTGCGTTTTTCTTTTTCATTTTCTCTTTTTTCATTACGAACATCAAAATAACGAGAACAACAACAACAGCAAGAGTGGGTGTACAAACTGTTTGCGCAACTTATGTATTTCGTTTAACGTTCAGGCAGGACATTTTTATTTTATTCGCAAATGATTTCTGAATATACGTTTCGATAGACTGTGAAAGAATGAGTTTTGGGGGGCAAAGTTGAGTTTTTGTATTTTTATTATTATTAATGTATTTGTTTATTCAGCCGCTGATATGGAAAAAATAATTTTGATTTTATTTAATTGTGATTAATAATTATATATTTTTTAAGAAGAAATTGTTAGAATATATATTTTTTAATAAATAAAAATTGATTTTTCAAAAAGCAAGGTTGTGTTAATGGCATGCAAATTATTAAAAGAAAATTTAAAACACAAACCAACTAATAAAAAAAACAGAATAAGCAAAACATGTAAAAGAATGAAAAGAATGCTGGAATGATTTATAATGATAAATGCACAGTGGCATCAAGATGAAAAATGCCGTAAAGTAATGGACTCATATTGCCAGAAGAAAGGGGTCTTTTCAAAACAAAACAAACTGCTAATTCGGTTTGAAAATCTTTCAAAAACCTTAAACATTTTTTAAAAAAACCAGAAGATAAGATTATTTTCGAAACACAACAAACGGCTAATTCGGTATGAAAGTCGTACAAAAAATGTAAAATCCGATACAACCACGACCTGTACCAATTTTGGATCAAATAAAATAAGAAAAAAGGGAAGGAATCTACAATGTCACAACAGGATGCCTCACAATAAAGGATCAGCTCCAGATCTCAATTTTGAAAATTAATTAAGCCTATCTTTCCAAAAGACTCATCTTCCTAAATAATTTACACGTTGCTATGTGTAATCATACCGGGTATTGAAGGGTCCACTTTAATTGAGTTTAGGGACTACTACCTATTTTCCAGAAAAAAAAGATATTCATGATAGAATTCAAGCGTGATAGTGTGATTTCTTTATATTTGGCTGGAAAACCACAAGTGGCTATCGTTAGAGCACTCCTGCATTTTAATGTGAATAAATCTTTTGTGTCTCGTACCATCGCTCGTTACCGTGATACTGGTAGCGTAGCCCGACGTCAAGGAAGTGGACGAAAGAAAACAGCAACATGGCCCCGAAAAATGGCCCGTGAGTTGAACATATCGCAATATTCCATTCGGCAAATATTGAAAAATGAGCTCTTGGTAAAGCCATTGAAATTCCAAAAAGAGCTAATGAGTTGCTTCGCTTGCCCGAAAGTGGTGAACTGCCGAATTTGGTTTTCTCCGATGAGAAAACATTCGTTGTCCAGCAGTTTGTAAACAAATAAAATTATTGTTTTACTTGCCAAAGAGGTCAGCTAAAAATGTGCACATTCGGTTGGCCGCCAGAACTCAAGCGCCTGCCATGGTGATGGTGTGGGCCGCCATACCAGCCTATGGTCGCTCTCCGCTCGTATTACTCGACCGTGGCATCAGAATAAATTCGAATATTATCGCGAAAATATTCTGGTGTATTAAAGCAAACATTTTGGCAGCAGATCTTCGACATTCCAATTAAAGCAAACATTTTGGCCGCAGACTTCGACATTCGAACGCCACCCAAGAATGGTTACAAAATGAGGTTCCTCGCTTAAGTTTGTAGTTTGGAAAGCAATGTTGGCACTAAAAAATACCAAAGTGTCGATAACCCCAAGCAAGCGCTTCGCCGGGAATGGCCCAAAATACCGCAGAGTAACATTCGGGCAGCGTGTGACGGTTTCATTGGCCGTTTGAAGGCCATAATAATAAAATAAAAGGCCATAAAAATAAATAAAATTTAAAAAAATTAAAAATTATGACTTTTTACTTTCTTGCAGTTTTTTTATCTCACAGTGTAAAGGGGGATTGGGGCGAAAAGTTTCGCAAATTCCTAGACATTACCAACGTTTCACAAGATTTGGCAACCCGCCATTTCTCTTTAATCAGATAAACTCCCTATATCCGTGTCTATTTAGTAACATCCGCCAATTTAGTAACCTCTGTTCGTCGAGCTATCCTTAATTACTGGAAAGCTAATTCCCCAGAATCTAGAGGATTCATTAACGTCCATTCTGATACTTCTTAATCATTTTTTAATAATTTTCCAAGACACCTTCACATCTGTATCCGCCCACTATTTACCTTGAAAGACTAGTGAATGACCATGCACGATGATTCCACTCCACTTATCTCAAATTCAACGATTAAGTCTCTCGCGAAACACTTTCCCGAAGCGACTAATCGGAAGAAGTTATTAACAGTTAGTTCCGGGAATACTAACACTAAATAATATAGATAAGTGGAACGGGAGCTGGAGTCTACTGTGAAAGTCCGAGTATCCAACCATCCTTCAAACTAAACAACGACTGTAGCTTTTTTCAGGCAGAAATCTTTGCTGTCAGGAAGGCCATAGAGCTGCTGGCAAATAGAATTAATGAACTGTCTAAATTCATTTACAATCAAATATATGGCAGTTCTGGAATGCAGGAATGCTCTGGAAAAGGTTAAATCGTCTGTCAAACTCTTTGGGTCCCTGGTCCCTCCAAAAAGATTTGGCCGGTGAACTCCGAAAAGAGATCAAGGACGAGGAAGAAACTGAGACGGTGGAGCACTTACTCTGCCACTGCCCAGCTCTTATAGGAGTGAGAAAGAGGCTACTGGGTAAGCAAATACTACCAGACTTTTCCTACCTCTCCAAGATCGAGCCAGCCGTCATTCTTCAGTTAGCCAGAAGACTAAGGACGGTACGCTGATGCAAACCTACTAACTTCTCTGCTCTTTATTCAGATTCTCGCTTCTTCACTATCCGTTGTTCATTTCCTTCTCTTCTCTCTATTCTACAATGTACCAATAGGTCTCCGAGCTCCGTTTATACAGCCGCGCATCCTTTAACCTAACCTAACCTAATAATATAGATGTATTCAGACTTGTGGGAACGCAGACTGAGAACTTCTCAGCAGTGCCTTTAGAGTTTGTATCGAATTTACCTTAGGGAGCTACCCAAACTATCATGTGGTGGATAGAATTCCTTTTCCCACAAAAGGATTAATTTTAAACCACCTATATACGGAACGGCGAAGTCGTATTTTTGATCAAAATGCACTAAAGTAGGAAATTTTGAAGGTTAAAAGATATTTTCAAAAGATGCAACTCATCACGAATGAACGAATTTTTTAGGATGACATTTTTGTGAAAAATTATAGCAGTGAAAATGGTGAGAATGTCGTTTTATGTTACTACAATGAGTATGATGTTGAAGCCAAGTGTAGAAATGGAAATTGTTACCTACAAAGCAAGTAGAACAGTTCTACAACTCTCTTCACAGAAAAAAACATTAGTTAACGATAGTAGACTAGAAACTCGTTTGTAATTCAAAACTTTCAATAAGCAGTAAAAACAGTATTAGAAAAAATCAATAAAAAATAACAACAATAAACCAAAAATCACAAGCAAATTGAAGTTTAAAAAATTGAGGCTTCATTTAAAAAAAAAAAAAAGAAAAGCAACATTCAAGAATAAAAACAAACTGTGATTAATACAAAAAGAACACAAAAATAAAACTTGAAAAAAGTATTGTCATTTAAAATCAAAAATATTGAATATTAAAAAAAAACATTTGAAAAAATAAATAAATTATTTCGTTAAAAAACAGAGTTTTTAAGAAACAAAGTCTGACAATTTGTTTTGTTCTTCTTAAAAACGAGCACAAATAAAAAAAATAATAAAGAAAAAGAAAACAACATTAAAACAAGAATGTAAAAAACATTAAATACGTACCATCTGTGGGCATAAAATCTTCATAAATAAATGAACCCGTTTTGCGAACACGAGATTCAGGTGAATAAACACTGCTACGGCTACCGATCTGTAAGTAAAAAATTATCTTATTTTGTAAGAGTTGTTTAAGAGTCATAATAAATTAGACAAACCTTTCGGAATAATCGTTGACTTCCGCCACCCGCCGAAGTTGGATAATAAATGTAAATGTTATGATCTTCAGCTGAAACGGGTTTCTCAACAAAAGGTTTATTAAATATAATGCCATTGACTTCAACATGATCCTCGGATTCGATTAATTCATGTTCTGGAAATAAAATACAAGCGATTAAAATTTGAATTATATCACAATTGAATCAAAAAAATAAATAGATTGCAAATAGAGCTCCGAAAATTAGCCCCCCCCTTTAGAAACTAATAACTATTAATCCGTTAACCGTGAATGTATAACTTTAAAAATATTCTAAACAACCGACAGATGTATTTCCTCAGCCAATGGTTGATTATTTAAATATATTTTGACTTCTGTCATGATTATTCAAACTGTTGACACTCTATGGAGTAGGTGCCGAAGGAATTTGTCTATATTGTCCATTTCGTAGCGGACCTAAATATATATTATATTAATATTACGACGTGCCAGGTCTGGACTATATTGATTACTTTCTTCACTTTATAGGAGATATGAGGTAATTTTTAGAAAATGTTGACATGTGCGTGAGGTACCAGATATAGTCGACCGATGTATTCCATTTTCATATTTCATATAATACAGAAAAAAATATTGGTATGGAAAAATTACAAGAAAATCGAACATTTATATCCAATTTTATGCGAAATTATAAATTCCGATAAATTCCATATTCATAACAGGTATCTGGTTAAGAGTAATATTTAGATTTAGCAAGTTGTAAAGAATCGCCGACTTGTTTCGCAAGTTAAGACGGATATAAGTATTGAAAATTTTGACCCTTTGTGAGTGAGGTACCAAAAGGTTGTTAGCAAAAATAGTTTTATGTGTGAAATTTAAAGAGAGTTGAATGCTTATTTCGCTTTCTTTGAGCGTTTTGTTTTTCAAAATTTTGTTTTCTATATGAGGGAGGTAACAGAAGAAATGGTCCGATCTTCACCACCTTTATAACACATCTTGATGGAAATATTGAGATGTATCAAGTGTGAATGGAATCGGATGTTAATTTCTCGTTTTATGAGCTTCATGAATATTTAAAATTTTGACCCTTTGTGGGAGAGGTACCAGAAGGAGTGGACCGATATACACCATCTTCACAGCAGATATTTTGCTAGTAGAAATAATGGGATGTGTGAAATGTGAGATGTACCGCATGCTTATTTCGGATTGTATGATCGCTTTGGTTATTTTTGTGGGAGGTACCAAAGGGAATGGCCCGATCTCTTCCATCTTTATAAGAGATCTTGTGTTGATGGAAATATTGAGATGTGCCAAGACCGAATGGAATCGGATGTTAATTTCACGTTGGGCTTCATGAATATTAAAAATTTTGACTCTTTGTTGGGGAAGTACCGGAAGGAGTGGAACGATATATTTCATCTTCACCCCATACCTTGGGTTAATAAAAATATTGTGATGTTTGTAATTTGAAAACAATCGTAGACTTATATCATGTTTTATAAGAGTTATAATTATTTAATATTTTGACCTTTGATACTTGATGGAGTAGCGGTCAACTCCATTTTTTGTCCATTTTTGCACCTGAACTAGCACTGCTGCAAATATTAGGATGTGCAAAATTGGAGCAACATCGGATTATCCTTTTTTTTGGGCAGTAAATTATTTTTTTAAAAGTGTTGACATTTTTGTGGATTAGCTATCAGAAAGGGTGTACCGATATTGCCTATCTCCGAACTCAATTTAACTTTGACAATAATATTACGATGTACCAAGTTTGGATCAAATCGGATACTCTCTTCGAAAGTTATCGGGCCTGCAAGCCAGACAGACGGACGGACATCGCAAGATCGACTCCAAATGTCCTGAAACGGATTGGTCCAAATAGACCTAGATTCTAAAACTGTTATTTCTATGAGGCACGTTTTGGCCGTATCAAATGATATATAACCTCTCTATCAATATGGTTGAAGGTATAAAAATCCTCAAATTTTGCGGCAATAGAAGTTCATAAATTATTCTTAAAAATATACGCATATCTGCCCTAACTGTTCCTCCAAAAATTATTCGTCATCGACCGGAATCAAGTAAATGTTCACAGTAATATACTCACGTTTTGGATCTGGTGAATCACGATCTAATACCGCATAACGTGGTATTTCAATTCCTTCCTTTTCCAATATTGCATAGACACGGCGACGATCTTGAATATCATATTGCATGTGGAGATTGTTGAGGACATATGGTTTACGCAATTGAGCATATTGTATGGCCTTTTCCAGGGGAAAGCCCTTGGAATGGAAAGAAACGAGGCAGTCGCAGATTGGCCAATTCTCTACAGGTTCCTGGGAAAACAAAACAAAGGGAACGTGTCAAGTTAAATTCTATTAAGTGTATGGAGGGAATCACTTACCTTTAAAATAACATCTTCCTCGAAGATGACCATTTTAATGAACTCAAATTCCTGCAGTCGTGTCAAGATCTCTTTCATCGGCTTCGACTGTGTCTTTTTAGCCATGGCACAAATGCCCACAACGACTTGTTTGCCGGTATTTGAAGATGTACTGGCATCGGAGTCCATGCCGTCATTACTTTCACAGAAATCGGTGTCGCCCTGGAAATAGATTTGAAGAATTTTATGTTAAATATTCCAAGAATGTAAAACGTTTTAGCGACATAAATAAATGCAAGCTATAAATTTTACGTGCTTTTGAAGAAAATTTAGAAGACGAAATAAAAAAATGAAAAAAATTCAATTTGTTTTCTGGTTTGTCAATGTCACACACAATAACAAATGCGAGAATTTATTTTTAAAATACAGTAGAAAATATATTGAAAGAATATCATAATGCGGTAATATTTATGTAACACAACCATACTGCAATAAGCAAAAAGACTATGAACAATCGTTTGCCAAACAAAATCAATAGAAATGAACCACCAGTTAGAAAGAGGGATTTTCATAACCTACCCCAATATGCAATCAAGAAAAGAATATTTTTATACCCACCATCGTACCTCCTCATACCGTTTGTAACTTATTGAAATAAATAATCATTTAGGACCCAACCAAGTATATATATTCTTGATCAGCGTAAAACTCTATGATGATTTTGACCATGTCCACTTCTCTATACATTAAATTAGGAAGCATTTTTTGCACTTTAATAAGCAGTCAGCGAGTCTGCGTAGAGAGTTTTAAATACCCGAGTGTCAATGATATTTAGACTGGTGATGTTCCTGCTGGTCCCACGTAGAGGGTCTTCTACAGAACAGCTGCAGTAGGTTGTGTACCCATGGAAGATATTAAGATAGAAGACGGTCAAGGATTGTATATACGGTCTTTTACCTGTAGAAGGCCTATCCAAAGCCCTCCATCTACAGAAGTTCGGGAAATTGTTTTCTAGTGCCCGTTGCTTCGTCAGCCAAAAGCCCACCTTAAATTTCTAGATTACTTCCAATAGTCCGGTAGTACCCAAAATGTACAATTTGTTCAGTTTGATAATTTTTAAATTAAAACTTCATCCGTCATACTAAATTTTCAGACTTTGAAGTTTTTCCATTTTTCAGAAGGACTAATAGGAAAACGTTTACCTTTTACATGTCTTCAAAATCTTTCATTATGAACTAGGGAGGATATTAGTAAAAACTTTTGAACAATGGACCCACGTCCATTTTTTCCGTGCAAAACTATTTCAACGTCTCCATATATAAACCCTAAAAACCCCAAAAACAGTGATCTAAAATTAGTACCATTTAGTATACATTTTCAAAACTACCACCAGATATCAAAATCAGAGGCCAACAGAACCTCAGTAGCAAATTTCTGGATTCCATCGCTATACACTCACCCAATACCAAATTTAGTTACATTTAGTACAATTATAGCAATATCAAATTTCCGGATATTAGTTCTATTTCTTCACCCAATATTAAACTTAGTACCATTTAGTACTTTAGATACAATTTGAGTACACATTTCCAAAACCACCTCCATATCTCAATTCTAGATACCAACAGAGACCTCAATATAAAATTTCTGGATTCAAGTCAATATCCTACACAATACTAAATTTAGTACTTTTTAGTATTTTGTGTGAAATTTTACCACCCACACATCTTAATTCCAGATACCAACAGAGAGCCCAGTATTAAATTTCTCCTCGTCCAATACCAAAGTTAGTACTATTTAGTATTTTTGTGCAATTCTATTATACATTTCCAAAGCCACCTCCGTATCTCAATTTCATACACCAACAGAGGGCTCAATATCAAATTTCAGGATTCCAGCCCCAATCTTTCACCTTTTACCAAATTTCCAAACCACAGCCAAATCTCGAACGCAGATGCTATCAGTAATCTAAATATCAAATTCATGATTTCAGCTCTATTCAAATGACCAAATTTAGTACTCTTCGTACAATTATAGTACACATTTCCAAAACCACCTCCATATCTCAATTCCAGATACCAACAGAATGTTCAATATGAAATTTTAGGATTTTAGCCCTAACCTTTCGCCCAATACCAAATTTAGTACAATTTCAAAAATTCAGTACGCATTTCCAAAACAGCGCACAAATCTACCATCACCAGAGACCCCATTACTAAATTTCAATATTCTAGCTTCACCCGTTCACCCTAAACCATCCCTTGCAAATTTAAAGCAATTTAGTACAGTTCGCACACTTAGTACCTTCATATATCGAACTTAATTTCCAACCTTGTTTCTCATACCAAATTTCGAGTTTTTAGTAAATCGTACTATTTCAGAAGTTTAGTAACATTTTAGGAATTTTTGTAACCTTAAAGTTCGAATTTCTAAAAAAACTTTTGTGTCTCTATACTGCGCTCCATCACAATTTTAGCTCATTCGGTTATCCAATACAAAGTATTTAATTTTTATTACATTTTAGTACTTTTCGTACTCGTAAACCCAGCCTACGCATCAAGACCTACTCTCGTGCAAAATTAAGCCGTTTCGTCTGGGCGTTGATTCTCAGTCAGTCAGTTACTACTCTTTGCAAATGATCATATATTAACTTCTTCTGTCTTTAGATGACCTGTAAAATCTCATTTGTTTATAGAAGGCCTATAAAATGCCTTATATCTATGGAAGACCTTGTATGTAAAAGAGGTTTAATGAATTCTCTTTAAAAACTTATTTGACTTTAAGTAGCGTTAAATTTAACTTTTCTTATCTCAGAAATAAGGCAAACACTTTCATTCACAAAAAAAATCAAACAATTAAAATACAATGACAAAGTGTTTAGCTAATTCTAAAATACATTGAAACAAAATTTGTGGGAGAACTCGAAATGTGACAACAGGTGAAAAGTACCTGCCTTCCTTCCTTCCCGAAATGTACGCAAGCCAAGATAGTGTGGGGTTCAAACACTCAATAATTTATGACAAAAGCAATTGTAATTGCAAGTATTTAGTTCGAGGTGGGTAGATAAATGGGGCACGTATTGCATACACAAATAAATTTATATATATTTAAATGACCAATTAAGAATTGTGCATATTTTTGGCGCTAAATATCATAGAGCAGATGGCGAAAATAACAAAAGCGGAAACAAAGTTTCCAAACGAATGAATAAACAAATGCCAATATTTATAAAATATTGTAATTGTCCGTGACGGTAATGCCCGTTTTAGTGGCTGCAATGATAAAAGCAACCATCGAAAATAGAGGAATGAAAAAATACTAAAATAAAAACGAAAACAATAATCAAAATAAACACAGAAAATAAAACAACGACGAACCAAAACAAAAGTGTACGACAAACCTACATTTAAACATTCATCACAATAGCAAAAGTCATCGACTTCATCATCATCGTCGTCGTAGTCTTCTTCATCATCGTCATAGTAGTCATCGTAGCCGTCCTCAAATTCTTCATCCTCCTTATTATCAGCGTCATTTACACCAGCATTGTCTTGCTTGGCGGCTATGCCTTCTTCAGCTGCAACGGCATCACCGGTTTCATTTTTAATATCGTCATTGTTATTGGCATTTTCTTTGTTAATCACCGCCTCCCGCCCACTTGGACAACGACGACGGCTGCGGAGACGACTTCTACGTTTTCGACGATTTTGCATTCTACATTTTGTGTTATTAGGATCAATTTCCCCATTGTCATCTGTAGCACCGCATTGGCGGCGATGACCTTCAACGCCAATTGCCCCCCTAGCGCAGTCATTGTTTTCATCATAGTTTCCATCCGGGCCAAAGGCGGACGACGATGATGATGGATCACCCAAGTGGGCATGTTTCAATTTACGGCGCCTCTGTTGAGAACGATATTTTTTCAAGCGCCACCAATCCTTAAGCCAAGTCCATTCCATGGCTTTTTAATTGAATTTCACACACACACACAAACGAACCAAAAATTGAATCCTTGCTTTGATTGAATTTTTTGAAATTCCATCGACCGTTACAATGGAATCGTTTTTCAATAACAACGCACGTTATATTTTTTTCCGAAGACCCGCAATACCGTCAACAATACAACGACTGTCATACACAAGTGCGCCCAATCTACTGACTCTTTGGTATTGAAAAATTGTGCAATTCTCATTTCACCAAGAGGTCTCATTTAAAATAATAATTATTTTGTTATTGTTGTTGTTGTTGTTGGTGTACGTTTTTTTTTCATTTAAAACAATAATTTAAATTTATTGTTGTATTTTACTGTTTCTCAACAAAGAGATAAAAAATTCTATTCATTATTCTCCACTAAAGCATTCGTCGGTAGGTTAGGCGGCAGCCTTTCCAACTGTTATACATTTGCCTCTCAAGCGTTGGCAGCGTTTAAAGGGTAGGATGGATAACAGCCGGCCGGCTATCTTTAGCACCTTATCAGACAGTCGACATTCGCTCTCATTTAGATTGATGTTGTTATTATCTAAATAAAATTATCACAATATTGCCATTTCTGACGTCACGAATTGGGTAGGAAAACAAAAAATTGTAGTTGCTATCACCGCTGGAAAAATTTGGTTTTAACAACAATGCGAGACTGCCAGATTTGCATTAATTTCTGATGGTTGGAAGATTCATTCACATGATACCATAACCTTGCATAAAATGCAAAATAAAGGCCGAGGCCTATTCGATTCGAAAAATATCGAATTGTATTCACGTAATAATATTTGAAAATCTTCTAATATTTTTTTCGTTATTTAAGGTATTTTCGATAATAAGTTCATTAACCTTAAGGGAGCTCAATAAGTTCTTTCGAATATTTTATAACTTGATAAAGGTCAATAAACTCTTTAAAAAGTATGACCAAATTTTTATGTGCATGATTAAAAACCTTGAAAAAATCCTCAATTTGGGATCTTTAGGAAACTTACATTTGTATTAATTTTTGAAATAAGTTCATGAAAAATCCTCGAAGTTTTGGTCCCGTCGAGGAGCTATAAATTCTTTATAAGCCCATATTATATTCAAAGAATATCGAATTGTATTCACTTGTTAATATTTAAAAATCTTCCTCAAGTGTTAATAATACCCTCCACCTCAGGATAAATGAAACTTTTTTATATAAAATATCTGAATTAAAGCGTGCTCCACTTTAAACTACAAATACTAGTAAGACCTTTTCA